AACTCAAATTACGCTAACATATAAAAATGTACGGGTTTACTCGTACACATACAATGCAAGGCATAGTTCAAAAATAGATTTCTTAGGTGGCGAATAGGTTATACCATAATAGAATTGTAAATATTTTTTTAAAGTTTGTGTTAAACAATGAAGTCTACGTTTACTTGAAATATTGAAGTAAAAGAGAACTAGATTTATTTCGATACGATCTAAAACACCACGGTAAAACAATATATTATTTAGGTTAACACGTGGTAGAGCCATGCTGCAGCTATATTAGTAGTATAGTTGTAGCACGAATGGGTCGGCTCAACCGGGGAAGGACCACGCTCTCACAGAATAGCAGCTTAACGCTGCTGTGTTTCGTATGGTGAGTGTAGAGAACCGGAGACCCTTTTTACTGGAAAAGAGGCATTCCATCTTAGTCCTCACGGGTGACAACGCATCTGCATTTTGATTCGCAAACGAGGATAAATGTAGATGTCTATGGGCCACAGCAACCACTTACCATCAGGTGGACTGTGTGCTCGTTTGTCACCCTATCCTATAAAAAAAAGGTTCTAATGGTAAAATTGTATACTTAATATAGTCAAAAGACCTTGATTTTTTTTTAAATTTATAAAAATTTATTTTTAAAAATTTCTAAATACACCTTGAATTTCCAATTTACGCTCGACTGTATATGGCTGTCTTTTGGTAGCCTAATTTCCACGGTGGCTAAGGTCCATCGCTCCGAGCTTTAACTTACAAATAAATAATAAATTAATTACTTGGACTGCTAAATTACTAGACGTAAGTAAATATATCAATTGTACGTTGCTCAAACGTTGTAGCATTTTAGTAAAACGCTTGTGCCTGCTTTGGATTAAGATTAAATCACTTTGGACGAGTTGTTCCGTTGGTTAAATATGTTAGGATAAAACTTTTTGAATTATTTAACAATACATTCAATTGTAGTAAATATTTACGGATTGTGTCGATGTTAAATTCCTTTTACCTTATAAAATATGCTTAATTTTATAACACGGAATTATTTTTCTACTTTATATATAATAGAACAACAAGCAAGTCCGAGGATAATTTAAATCGAATATAATTAATAATATTCAGGCATTTTACTTGCAGCATTACACATGATATTTAGGTCTTTACATCTGGGCCATGTAAGACATATATTATTAAGTTATATATTGTTTAATACATAAATAAAATAATCCGTAAATATTATATTTCAATAACCTTACCTTTTTCCAAACTGATATTTTTACAATACTTATTTACGAAACAACAACAAGAAAGACAACCAATATGTAATGAAATAATTAAAACAATGTGATTTTTATAGAAATTTATTAAATGTCAAGAAACATATACATATGAGTGATTTAGTATATTTAAATGCAGAAATAACTTAAAATATATCAAATATTGTAGTTGTTCCCGCCTTCTAAGGTTCCATTTTAAACTGTTATTAATTTAATAGTGAAAGTGAATACTGAATATATTAATATTTGAATATCAAAAGCACAAAGTATGACTACTAGCATTAAGCGCAATTTACACTATTTAGATGTACCCGCTGTCAGACAATTTTGTACACTTTTGTATTTTATAAATATATAAAGTGAATTTTGTACGACTTGTTTTATTTACCTCGATACATTACAGAACATTGAATGGATACAAATCCTGTTAGTTGCAGCTTGAGTCTATGGCCTGTTAACCGAACCAGCACATTATCTTAAGGGCTAGACTGTTTAGGAAACTGACCGATCATCGAAGTGCGACATCTTATTTTTAATTAAACTAATTAATATATTATATAAAAACCCAAACAATGGTTTTTCGGCCACTTCCATTTAACATATTAAAATGGTCCTTCGAGCCGGATGTAATTTAGAAAGGTATGCATGTTTTTTTATGTATTGAGTCCCATTTATTATGCTTTTTCTATCGCCGTGTATTAACGGCGTAGGAGAATCCACTACCCTTATATCTCGTGGCTCGTCGGTGTCGTAAGGTGCGATAGGGGGAAATTGGAACAGGAGATTGGCAGCAGCATCTTCCTGATAACAACTCAAAATAATAAAATTAAAAATTTTGTACAACCTTCAATATAAATTATTAAGAATAACTCAAAAACTATTTGTCAGACCTTGATCAAATTTATATGGGACCACATGAGAAGCACCAGCTTTCAATTAAAAAAAGAAACGTCGAAATCGGTTCACCCAGAAAAAAGTTACGAGGTAATACATATAAAAAATATACAGTCGAATTGAGTACCTCCTCCTTTTTAAAGTCGGTAGAAAATACTGCGGTTGTCAACCCGCCTGTCTAGAAAATTCACCTTACGAATCAATCAACAGGGGAGCCCTATGTTCAGTAGTGGGCTTTTATAAGCTGTCTATCCTGGATGGTAGGATACGTATTATAGTCTCATTGTTGAAATCTGCGTTATTGGGACATATTTTTTATAAAATAAGGGTGACACGCGAGCACACAATCCACCTGACCTGCCAATTAGATGCTGTAACTCATAGACATCTACATTAATCCTCGGTTAAGAAAAATGCGCAGATGCGTTGTCACCGCTGAGGACTAAGTTGGAAGTAAAAAGTTACTCTGGTTCTCTATACTCACCATATGATACACAGCAGCATTAAGCTGTTACTTCACGATGGTATTCTGTGAGAACAAGTGGCCCCGGTGGGGCCGACCCATTCGTAATTCATAATAAATCTGCGGAGCCGTGGTAGCTCATAGGATTGGCGCTCGCTGTAAATTTCACAGTACGCGAGCAAGCCGGGTTCGATCCCCGCCGGCAGCAATGAAATTGTTAAATGCAATTTTAAGTGCAGATTTAGCAAGTGTTCGGCGGCGAAGGAAAACATCGTGAGGAAACCTGCATGTCTGAGAAATAAGAAACCAAAATTTCGAAGACGTGAATGTGAAGTTCGCAAGTTCGAAGTGGCAGCACGCCGGACGTTTCCTTACCCTAAAACCCTCTCAGAACTGAGGGGAAGTCTGTGCCCAGCAGTGGGATGTATATAGGCTGAAACTAATAAATCTGCAGCGTGGCCCTACCAGGTAAATCCTGTAATAATTTTGATAATTTTTCAACGGACAATAGTGTATACCAATCACTAATAGATTAATGCTATGCACTGGTGGTATGAATCCATAGTGGTATAAGTGAATATGTTGTTTTTTTATCTTCATTAGTGATACGTGATACTATCGATTGATGCAATAATAAGGCAATAATTATTTCGTTAAATCAGCAGATACAATTTCCTTCTAAAGTAAGATATTTTTTCGCAGTTTTTTTTTTAGTGGCAAGTGGTAATTCAACCAATAGACACCTGCAATCAACTTCGAACAAACAACACTATACTTAATTGTGTTGCCATTTAGACTGGCTCTCAATCAGGATATGGGTAGCAGTCTTTCTAATACAAACAAAAAAAAACTGCGGTTGCCAACCCGTTAGCAAAGCGGGTTATATATATATATATATATATATATATATATATATATATATATATATATATATATATATATATAGTACAATGATACAAATTGTAACTATTGAGATTAAATGTAAATTCAATCAAAAACCAATTAAGAGGTTTCACATTGAAAATGGAACATAATTAAGTATATAGGTACCTATAATGTACCTATTTACTTACATTATAAGTACTTACGTGTTTTATTCTCTTTTGTGTGACATAAATGTTAAAATAACAGACGTCCCTTCTAATTATTGCTTAAGTACCAAAAATACGAACGAAAAAGTAAGTACCATTTGTAAAAATATCGTATTTATAATCTTTCTCGATGCATGTGGTGTTTACCTTAAACGATTGTTACACTTAGCTACATAAGTTAGTTCTGAACATTTTGTTAAATACAGTGTAATCAAACATTGGTAAACCTTAATAAATAAAAATAAAATAAAATAAAAGAATTTTAATGGAATATGCGCATAACATTACATTAACTAAATACGGCTTATACCTGGTAGAGCCACGCTGCAACTACGAGTATATTTGACCAATTGATCATCAACTAACGGATGCAACTAGATGGGGCAGCCTAATATATCTCAAAATCTCAAAGCAATGTACAAAACTGCGTGGTGGCAGTGATGATCTATGGGACCGATGACCTATAGAGAGAAAGGGCTATGCTCGGAGTTACTTTGCGTATCAGAATCAGAACCCTTTTAAGGTATACGTGGTAGAGGCACGCTGCAGCTAAATTATGGTTTTAGCACAAATGGTTCGGCTCGACCCGGGAGGACCACGCGCTGAGAGAATATCAGCGTAAAATAGGAGCTTTATGCTGCTGTGTTTCGTATGGCCCAGTATAGAGATTCGAAGGACTCTTTTTACTAGAAATATGTAGTTGGTACATATTATGTATCCATAATCCAAATAAATACACAGTAACAATGTGGGCACCCACGACTTTTTCTGCCACCAGGGCGGCGCCAGTAGAAAGTGAGATATAATATTTGACAGATTTCATAGTGAGGAAGTTAATTTCTTCCGAAAATATAAATGTTATTGTTTCTTTTTGTACTATTAGCTATATTTTATATTAATAACATTAAAAACAAATAAACCAAACCACAGATATTCATAAAAGTAGAAAAATTAAAAAAAGTTAAAAATGTGCAAAACATTAAAGAGCATATACCACAAACGCATTGTTTTGTGTATTAATATAATACTCTAGATACTGATAAACTTTTATTAAAAAAAACAGCTTCTCAATTAAATTATATTGTGTAACAAAAAACTTTACCTCAGTGTCAAATAGCGACATCTGGTGAGTAGAAAACTATTAGCCCTCATTCTGTGGGTTAAGACAAAATGTCTCAATATTAACGTTGTTTCTTAAGTAACAGTATCACAGAAGTTTTACATTACCTATAGTTAGTTTATTTAATATATAGCATTTATTACGGTATTATTAATTAACTCTAGCTCTCACGTAGTTGCGTGAACTGGCAACACTGTATAAGCCGTTGTCGGATTATGCATACTTATAAATTTTCCTCTTGACTGGCATTTTGGTAAAAACCAAAAAAGCCATAGGGCCGTAGCTGAGAAGAACATGCAAAAAGCTATGAGACCAATGGCTAGCCCCACGTAATGGCTTTTTGTAGAACATTTAAAGTACTTGGCCTTAAGTTCGAATATTTTACTGTTATACAGCGGCTTCGGCGTATAGCACCTGAAATCAATGCAGATTATAAGTAAGATTAAGAATCGATTATCATAATATATATGTATATTTTTTTTATAGAATAAGGGTGACAAACGAGCATACATTCCACCTGATGGTAAGTGGTTGCTGTGGCCCATAGACATCTACATCTATTTTCGTTTGCGAATTAAAATGCAGATGCTTTGTCAGCCGTGAGGACTAAGATAGAATGCCTCTTTTCCAGTAAAAGGGTCTCCGGTTCTCTACACTCACCATACAAAACAAAGCAGCATTAAGCTGCTATTTTACGCTGGTATTCTGTGAGAGCGTGGTCCTGCCCCGGTCGAGCCGACCCATTCGTGCTACAACTATACTATTAATATAGCTGCAGCATGGCTCTGCCACGTATATATACAAAATATAATAATAGTAATAATAAGTTCTTTATTTCCAAAAGGTAGTACAACCAGATATTTACTTAACACTTAATAAAGCTAATTTGGTACATATATCTGAAACATAGCATCTGCATCCCAACAAGGAGACCTGTGCATCAGCTGTCAGCGCCATATCCCCACCGTTAATTTACATAAATATTAGGATGCAAGCTAAAGTTAGTTAATTAATATTGTCTAACGAGTCTCTACCTTATGCTAACATAGCCTAGGTACAATTAAATTTAATGGATCACATGTTATGTTCCATATGCTAAGTTATTACTTATACCAAGGCACAAACAAGAAAAGTTTTAATAATGTTGCGCGGAACCCAAATTCTTTTTCTAAAATATAAGTAGCCTAAGTAAGGTACTCCTTATAACATGAGCTATCTACCAGTGAAAGTCCCGTCGAAATCGGTCCAGCCGTTTCGGAGATTAGCCGGAACAAACAGACAGACAAAAATTTTAAAAATTGTGTTTTTGTTATAAGTACCGTATATACTTTTATATGCGTTTAGTAAAAAGCTGGTATTTTGATATTACAAACAGACACTTCAATTTTATTTATTTGTATAGATGTATAGATGTTGTTCCTCTCTCTTCAGATGTGTATAGGTATATGACAATAATATATTCTTGATAAGTACGTAGTTTTCCGTGTTGTGCAGTTCATGAGAATCGATCACACCATTCGCCCTGTGGGTGTTGTAAGAGGCCACTCTGGGAAATTCCATAAAACTTAGAGTTTCCGATTGATGGTGGTATTGTCAGATGGTGATAGTTAAAACAGATCCGATTTTAAGCCTGGGACTAATGATAAACCACTTCTTGTAATAAGACCAATAAGAATATACACTATAACACAAGAGTGATATTTTCATGACTTGAAAACAATAACATTTGTGATATAGGTACCTACATTATAATAGGCGAGCGTGACTGAGTAGTTTTCCTTTTATGTACGATGTTATCTGTGTTAATTTCTTAGATTATACTTACTATAGAATATGAGTAGGTACGATTTAGCACGATGTTATTAGTTTTTTCAGAGTTTTTTTTTAATAGAATAAGGGTGACAAACGAGCACACAGTCCGCCTGATGGTAAGTGGTTGCTGTGGCCCATAGACATCTACATCTATCTTCGTTTGCGAATTAAAATGCAGATGCGTTGTTAGCCATGAGGACTAAGATAGAATGCCTCTTTTCCAATAAACAGGGTCTCCGGTTCTCTACACTCACCATACGAAACCTGCTATTTTACGCTGGTATTCTGTGAGAGCGTGGTCCTTCCCCGGTGGTACCAACCCATTCGTGCTACAACTATACTATTAATATAGCTGCTGCATGGCTCTACCACGTAAGAGTGCGTGTAAGGTGTAACAATTATCGGATATGTAGGGCTCATGATGTTCTCTAGCTTGATATTGACAATTTTTTTTAAATTACGACTACTTAATCTGTGCATCCTAAACCTGTGCTCCACGCTTAATCAGTAAAATAGAAAAGACCTAATATTGGAGGTTCTCGGGAAAACGACAACAAAAATTTATAAATTAGTGAATTTGTTCAATTGCTACCTCATATTGTCCCGTGGGTGTCGTAAGAGACGACAGAGGGAAACTTAAACAGGAGATAAGCAGCGGCACCTTTCTGATACCAACTCAAAATAATAAAAAACTGCGGTTGCTAACCCAACTGCCGAGCGTGGCAACTATGGCAAAGTCCTCCCGACAATCGACCGAGACAATCCATGGGGAGTCAGCAGTGGATTTATGGGCTACAATGGATGGTCAATTGTTAACAATAAACGTATAAAACATTTACTTCATCAGGTCATAATAGTCCACTGCTGGACATGGGCCTGGGTGACAGAGGAAAACAAATTAGGATATGGGTAAAAATAAAAAAAATCTGCGGTTGCCACTCCGCTTGCCAAGCGTGGCAAATATCCCCTCTATGAGGCAATCTGTGGGTGAGGCCTATGTTCAGCAATGGGCTTTAATAGGCTGTAACGGTAATGGACAAGGGCCTCTACTAATGAATGGTTGATTTGCCTTCATCACCTCGCTTGGTGGACAAGCAAGGTGATGAAGAAAAATCTACCCGATTCACGATCGCGGTACTATGGCACGTCTTGCACGTTTAATGATGCTTCATATCGCCGGTCTGTCAGTTTTACGACTGGCGTTACCGAGATGGTCAGACCACCATTTATCTGAAACCGTAAGATCTTTATGACATACCCCATAACCGCCTCTACGACAACCACGAGATGAAATGGAGTGAATGATTCTCTTCCGCCCTCTCCACACGGCTTAACAGAAGTCCTGGTCAGATGAAAATCGGCCATAAGGACTTCTTTTGCAGGTAAATTTGTCGGTAACTTTAAGTTTTATAAGCTCAAACAAAACTTTCATTCATTATGTTGTATGGCTCCTTCTACATAAGGTTCCGTGGTCAAATAACTCACCTTAAATGTTCGTAATCCTTTGGCTTAATTTGCAAGTTTTTAATCCAAATAAGTTGACAATCGCAATTCCAAAAGTTACCCTGCAAATCTAAACGGATGAGCTGCCCGAAAGGAACCATTAGTTGTTTATCCAATGTTTGCAATCTTGACGACTTTAAAGATAACTCTTCCAGTAAGAAATCTACAGGATCATCCAGTACTTCCTGACCGAAAGCTAATACGCTAAATTCAGTTAATTTTTTGTTTCTTTCTAACTCTAATTTAGTAAGACCGTGTAAAGACGCAAATGCGTATTCGGGTATATTCCTTATAGAGAGATTGTTTAGTTTCAGCACTTTTAAAGCTGTCAAATCGTTGAAATCTTCACCGGATATTTGTTTGATAGGGTTGTCGGATAAGTCCAAATATTCCAGTGTAAATGGTATTTCGAATAAATCAGTTAAATTATTGTTGGAAATAACTAACTGTCTCAAATCATAAGCGTCGATAAAGAAGTTGTCGTGAACTGTGTTTAGGTTAATCCCGCTAATTGAAATTTTTTGAATTTTGTTCGTTAATCCATAACCATTTCTATCGAAAAGATTCGTATCCTTCAAGCTAGGTCCAATGTTGTTGTTGTCCAAAATTATTTGTTTTAATTCTCTTAAAGGATGAAATGTGAGTTTTGAGAACGATACAAAATGGTTATTAGCTAAATTCAAATACTCCAACTTTCTAATCGTTTTAAAAATGTCACCGTTAACTCCTTCCAATCGGTTATAACTCAAATCCAAATATTTCAATTCCGGGAACTTAAACGCGTTAGATTCGATTTCTGTTATTTCATTATTTTTCAGCACTAATTGTTGCAACGTACTCGATTTCAGAAAATGCGTCGAACGTATTACCTTTAAACCATTCGACGACAAGTCTAAGGAATACGCTTTTAAAGGCATAGTGTAATTACCATCGAAAACATTTTTCTTATACGAACAGTCAATATATTCACGAATAAAATCCTCTTCAACTTTGTCATGATATCTGCAAACGCACTCACTAACACTGTCACAAAACGTCCAACTTTGAGCTCTGTTACTATACAGTATAACGGTGAAAATTAAGAAAACAGTGCGCATTTTTCTTGACTCGTGTATCGTTAAACACTGACGGATATATAATGATAGCAGCGCAGCGAAAACCTTATCACCTACGTCGTTATCTCTGATATTTGATTGCTGGTCATTTCTCTTCGTTTACCAATAGAAAAGGCACTTAAGTAGGTGAGATAAGCATTAAGAAGCGATTTACGCTTTATATGTTGGTATCGAATATTAACTTGGTGCGTTATTATAATCCTAACAGAACAACTCAAGCATAAATAACGTTGCTTAAATATTGTTAAGCCAATAACAAATTAACTAGAAACCGATTATTAACAGATACTTCAGCCCTTTATGACGGTAGTTATTATTATCTGATTACCGTTACATACTATTAAAGGCAACTGCTGAACATGTACCTCCCCCATAGATTGCCTCATAGGGGGATATTTGCCATAGTTGCCACGCTTGGTTGGCAATCGCAGTTTTTTATTTTTAGTCATTATTAGGAAGACGCTGCCGTATGTCCATGGGCTGCCGTAGTCACCTGCTATCAGGTTGTTGCAATTATTATTGTATTTTATTGTGGGGTCATTCTGCTGACGTGAAGACAGTTATTATTTTGCGAAAAATGGCAGTACATGGAATTTATAATTTGCAATCTCGTGATTATTTAAGTGAACTGTTTAAAAAAGTTAATATACTAATAAATTTATATCTATGTTATGCCAGCACATAATATATGAAAATATTATGTGAGTAGGTACGTAAACACGAATTATACCAAAATATTGTGGTCGACATCCTCGTAGTTGAAAAAATAGTAACAAAATTGACAATCCGAAATTTAGATTATCTACTTACGATAAGTTAGTTATTCATGGGGCAATGCACACGACTAGAAATTCCTAACTATATTTTATGCTTTTCTGAAAGAAAATTCACGAATCACACTAAAGTGTTTATGCATCAAAGCATATGAGCATATCAACACGGGATGGGAATATTTTTAATAACATTGACCAACTAAAAAAGTACTGGCCACTAAAAATGTTTTTAATATCAAATTGTTCGTCATTTATTCCAGATTGATTCCAAATTTATTGTGATAATTCGACATTTTATTGCAATGCAACGTCGACAATTAACTGGAGAAGAGATGTTAAGGGCAGTGGGAATGCTGCAGGCTGGTGCTTTTCAACGTGACATCGCTTCTACAATAGACAAAATGTGATTTAGTGGTCGTGGTCACGCTATCGTGTCACGGGGGAGGTGGCGGAATGATATCCAGCACCAAGCCGCATTACTACACCCAGACAAGACCGATGACAGAATACAGAAGGCAACCAAATGTTACGGCGATGCGGTTGGTCCAAAGGCTTCTGAACACCAGGTGCTTTTGAGTAACCAAACTGTGAGAAGGAGGAGACTGTACGAAGCCAAGCATTATAGTCACAGACCACTTGGGGTTCTAGCTCTAAGAAGAGGAAATCGTGGACGAAGACTGCAATGGGCTAGAGAATCAATGGTCATTAGTGCTTATCACTGATGAACCCTGATTTGGTTTTCATCCTAATTCGAGGAGAGTAAGTGCTTGGAAAGTTCCTGGTCGTAAAAGCCGGCTTCCACACCCTCAAGAAGTGCATCCATACCAAGGTGGTACTATTATGGTGTGGACAGGAATTTGTTTTGGTGGAAGAACGGACATGGTTTGATGCAGAGCACTATGACGGCTGAAAAATACCGTAATAAGGTGCTAGAACCAATAGATTTGCCTCATCGAACACAAATGGGTCAAAATTTCCTGCTTATGCACGACAATGCCCGTTCACATACGGCTAGGGTAGTAACAGCCTGGTTGCACGAACATACCGTTCTAGAACGGCCAACGCAATCCATAAATTTAAATCTCATTGAGCATGCTTGGGTTATGATCCAAAAACGAGCTCTGAGGGTTTTCCTGAAAATCTGGTTACAGAAGAACAACTTTTTATGCATCTCACAAGAATCTGGAACAATATTCCTTAACAGGGTATTGGCAACAACGTTCTGAGTATGCCCAAGTGATGCAGATGCGTTATGAATGTCATGGGTGTTTTTATTGATTACTAGCTCTTAGTTTATTGCCGCCCTTAGGTTTTTTACTTTATATGAAGTTTTCTTGTCTTAAGAAAATATTGACATACTCTTTGGAATTCATGTCTTGTTAAATTATGCCTAGCCTATACCGTGGTTATGTGTTTAGTTTAAATTAATATTTTGATGAAAAAGGATCATGGAATTGTTAAAAATTTTGTACAGCCGACTTCAATACGAGTTATTAAGAATAAATCAAAAACTATTGGTCTAACCTTGATCAAATTCATATGGGACCACACGAGAAGTACCAGCTTTCAAATAAAAAAAGAATCATCCAAATCGGTTCAGCCAGTAAAAAGTTATGAGGTAACACACATAAAAAAACATACAGTCGAATTGAGTACCGTCTCCTTTTTGGAAGTCATATATATATATTCATTTTGATTTGAATTGTAATTTTTATTATACAACTGTAAGTTGCCCGTAATAAAAAAATTTTTTTTTGTATAAAAATATATAAAATTACAATTATATACCTTACAACTATATATAACATAAATGTGCCATACATATAAATAAATGTTGTAACTAAATAAAGGTAGAATAATTATATACAAATGAATAGGCATTATTTTTGTATAAAGCGCAGCCCTCAGCCAGGGCAGTCGGCGACGGCCCGTTCCACGCCCCGCGTCTCTCAAGCCGCACACATACAGACACCCACACATACTCGCAAGTGATTTTATGTGCACACATGCTTACGTGTCGTTTCTTTTCGCGTAGTGTATATAATCTTTGGTATTACGGAGATACCTAAATATCGGCGTGTGACGGACTTTGGTATGTTATGTTTGCTTAAAAGTTTTTGCTTGCGGCGGTGACGTGTGGCGGTCGTACACTTCTTTTTAGTATGGCAGAAGAGCGTGACTGTTGCCACATGCGGAATACTTCTGAACAAGTACTGCTTGTGTGGGATGGTCTATATGTAATGATGAGCTCCATATTTTAAAGGTATTTTTTGAGTGCATCTTAGAACTGTTATTGTTTTCCATTCTTTAATGCTATAGTAATATGAATTTAATAAAAATGACAGAAAAGGATACCTGCGGCGTTTCTTTCGCCATCTCTTATATTTACATAGGCCAAACAAAAAGATAAATAAAAAAACCTACGTAAGAGCACATGATAGATTACATGAAACACCGATGCCCCGAAGTCTGTGATCATATTAAATAAAGAAGATTCTCGCAATATAAAAGGTAAACGAGGGAATTCGCGACTTTTTCTGCCACCAGGGCGGCGCCAATTAAAAATGAGGTCTAGGTAATATTTGACAGAATTCATAGCGGAGAAGTTAATTTGTTCGTAAAATGTAAAGGTTAATGTTTTTTTTTCTGTACTATTAGTTATATTTTATATTTATTAGATTAAAATAAATGAACCAAACCACACAACATAATGTTAATAAAAGTACAAAATTTAAAAAAAAAATTAAAAATGTACAAAAAATTAAAGATCAAACCACTAAGGTATTGTTTTGTATATTAATATAATACTCTAGCAACTTTAATTTAAAAATACCTTCACAGAATGACATTATGTAACAAAAAACTTCGCCTCAGTGTCAACTCTTAATTGCCTCATAATGGCAAAATTAACGGAAGGAAAAACACAGGAAGCGATGTTCTGTCGGAATCGGTGTATTTAAACTTCGTGACAAATGAACGCATAATTTACGTTTAGGACCGTTTGACAACACCTTCATTGATCTACAATCAAATAATTATATTATCTTTAGGTATTTTCATAGCGCCAATTCTTCGGTTAATAGATAATACAATAAATGAAAATTAAAAATTTTGTACAGTCGACTTCAATATAAGTTATTAAGAATAACTCCAAAACTATTGGTCTAACCTTGATCAAATTCACATGGGACCACACGAGAAGTATCAGATTTCAAATAAAAAAGAATTATCGAAATCGGTTCACCCAGTAAAAAGTTATGAGGTAACACACATAAAACAAACATACAGTCGAATTGACTACCGTCTCCTTTTTGGGAGTCGGTAGAAAAAGAAAGACTTTTGTTAACATGTGTTTTATTTAAAAAAGACAAGTTTTAGAATTATGTATAATCTTTAATACATACAAATGATAAAAGCTAATTTAACGTGACGGATTGGGAATATTAAAATCTGCTCCTGGACGCCTGCGAGTTGCCCTTACTGCCGGGATCCTCGTGTGCCTGCAATATTACATTCAGCTTCATTCTCTACAAAGAAAAGTGGAAAGTCTCCACGTAAAGTCTCGCTGTATTGCGGTCGGAAGGGTATACAAATTCCGTATAATCTTTGATTAGAGCCAGGTCGTAATAATTCATCTTGGCAGTGCATTTGTGGCTTTCTTTGTTCGAAGTTAGCTGCAGGTGTTCCTGCATTAGCAACTTACCATCAGGTGGATTGTGAGTTCCTTTGTCATTTCAGTTTTATTAAATATTCAAATCAAATATATCTCTTTTTTTATAGGATAAGGGTGACAAGCGAGCACGCAGTCCACCTCATGGTGTTTGCTGTGGTCCATAGACATTTACATCTATCTTCGTTTGCGAATCAAAATGCAGATGCGTTGTCAGCCGTGAGGACTAAGATGGAATGCCTCTTTTCCAGTAAAAAGTGTCTCCGGTTCTCCACACTCACCATCCGAAACACAGCAGCAGCAAGTCGCTATTTTACGCTGGTATTCTGCGACAGCGTGGTACTTTCCCGGTCAAGCCGACCCATTCGTGCTACAACTATACAATTGTAGCACGAATGGGTCGGCTCGATATATAGCTGCAGCATGGCTCTACCACGTTTAAATCAAATATATACATCAAAAATTACAGCGTGTTGCAATTTTTGATTTGTAGCGTCTTTTGTATAAGCAAATAAAATTTCACTGAAATCTCGTTGCTTTTACGTTTGTAATTACTGCCATTATTGTTAATAGGTTTATGGTTTTAAAAGTAATGTTATACAACTTAATATAATAGTTTCACTTTTATATTCATTTAGATTAGAATTTATTCGATGGCTAACTGTTATTTGACGATTGAAAAATTGGCCTTTATACAAGGTTAGTTTGCGGTAACCGGCCACATTTGCAGAGAAGGTTCAGAATAAGTAATTATAGGCAAATGGTGAAGAGAAATTAATTTTAAAAAATCTCAAACATTCTGTCTTTTTTATCTTTTAAATACAAAATGCATATTCAATTTGGGATAATTTAAAATAAAAATAGAAGCCTTACTATCGTAGCCTTATATTTACTCGTATATATATATATATATATCATTATTTATCTACTTGAACTTAAGTTTAAAATTTGATTACTCTTTGAAAAATAACCCTGTATATTAATTATAGTTATTTTTATACATAAAGTTTAGTTACATATTAATTTATAACTAGACATATTTTGCTATGTAGTAGCGACGTAAAAGAATCCACTAGCACTTGTTCCGTGGGTGTCGTAAACAGCGACATAGGATAAATGAAAAAGGAAATGCGCAACAGCATGTTCTTGATTACAACCCAATGTAATAAAAACTGCGGTTAACAACCTATTTGCTAAGCGTGGCAATTATGGCAAGCATCTCCCTCATGAGGGAGGCGTTAAGCAGTGGACTTCGATAAGCTGTAAAGATGAAGGTTTATCTGTGCGTTTTACGCGGCGTTAAGCAGTGGACTTCGATAAGCTGTAAAGATGAAGGTTTATCTGTGCGTTTTACGCGGCGTTAAGCAGTGGACTTCGATAAGCTGTAAAGATGAAGGTTTATCTGTGCGTTTTACGCGGCGTTAAGCAGTGGACTTCGATAAGCTGTAAAGATGAAGGTTTATCTGTGCGTTTTACGCGGCGTTAAGCAGTGGACTTCGATAAGCTGTAAAGATGAAGGTTTATCTGTGCGTTTTACGCGGCGTTAAGCAGTGGACTTCGATAAGCTGTAAAGATGAAGGTTTATCTGTGCGTTTTACGCGGCGTTAAGCAGTGGACTTCGATAAGCTGTAAAGATGAAGGTTTATCTGTGCGTTTTACGCGGCGTTAAGCAGTGGACTTCGATAAGCTGTAAAGATGAAGGTTTATCTGTGCGTTTTACGCGGCGTTAAGTAGTGGACTTCGATAAGCTGTAAAGATGAAGGTTTATCTGTGCGTTTTACGCGGCGTTAAGCAGTGGACTTCGATAAGCTGTAAAGATGAAGGTTTATCTGTGCGTTTTACGCGGCGTTAAGTAGTGGACTTCGATAAGCTGTAAAGATGAAGGTTTATCTGTGCGTTTTACGCGGCGTTAAGCAGTGGACTTCGATAAGCTGTAAAGATGAAGGTTTATCTGTGCGTTTTACGCGGCGCTAAGCAGTGGACTTCGATAAGCTGTAAAGATGAAGGTTTATCTGTGCGTTTTACGCGGCGTTAAGCAGTGGACTTCGATAAGCTGTAAAGATGAAGGTTTATCTGTGCGTTTTACGCGCTATTAAACAAACAAAGAACGATGTGTGTGTGAGTGTGTGTCATATTGTAGCAGGTAATATTACGCTCAGTCTATCTTTGTTCGTGGATTTAGGGTTAGGAGTGAGTGTTAAGAAGTTAAGCATTGGGCTCCGTCTATTTGCTTGGTTGGATTCGGGTGTTCCATAAGTGGACGGCGTCGTCTAGTTGCCCCCTCCCCGGGCGTACGGGCGTACCTTGATGACGATAGAGGTGCGCGGGCCGGTGTTCCAGAGCTGGCCCTGCTGGTCCACGAAGGCGGCGTCCACGGCGACGGTGTAGAGGCCGGGCGCGGGCACGGCCACCAGCTGCTGCGCCGAGAAGAAGTCGCGCAGCGGCGCCACCGTCTGCACCGCGCGCAGCACCGCCGCCGCGCTGCCCAGCTCCACCGTCTGCTTGCACCCAATGCACCCATGTATGGCGCTCAACTTTATTTTGTTATGCAGAGGGGTCACACTTGCTTGTATGTCACTTAAGAGAAGTAAACAACGTATTCGCTGTCTACTGGTTTATTGCAGACTGTTTTACAAATATAAAGAGAAGTGTAATTTTACGCATATAACACTACAACAGGAGTGTTTTTCCAAAATCCTGTTATTATGCTCTATGGTTCGTACTCAAGCTGATAGAAAGCATTATCACCCGACTTCAAAAAGGAAGAAGTACCTACTCTGTCTAGTTGTTAAATAAATATCCCAATTATTATAGTAGATTAAACTAACATCAATTCATTGTAAACAGATAACTTCATAGTTTACAACAAAATTTGACACGATATACAGTACACTATCCCTTTGTGAATCGCGCAACCATTTGATGTTTTCGGAAACACAAGTTAAAAATGTTATCGAAATAAATTGTCCCTTTTTTTCTCAACGAATGTTGGTGTTTCATTCATGGGCCTTCGGAGCCGGATGCAGAGTGAACAGTGGCACCACCTAGCGATTTGTGATTTTTACGGAGTTGAGCAGCAGATGGAACTGAGTGTAATGTTCAATTGTTGCCTAAGTGTTTACAACCAAAACACTTAGAAAAAATCACGCACATACTGGACATAGAAGACATAACTCGCAATCTCCCTTACAGCGAGACTTGTAAAAAAAAAAATAGTCAAATTTCAAAGAAATAAAGGTAACAATGAAAAGCAAAATAAGAGCTCAGTCAGATATGTACAACCGAATGGAAAAGGCCAGAGTCAATTTTAAGAAATCTCCAAAAGATAGGCTAACTTCAAACTAAATAGAAACTAGAATTGACATTTTGAATGGACAGTGGGAAACATTTAACAAAGTACATAAACAACTTATTAATGAAGTCAGTGATGCTGATTATGCAGAATTAGATTACTTTATCGAGGACTTTTACACCAAAGAAGAAGACTTATACGCAGATTATAAAACAGTTTTAAAAGCAAACTTGGAAAAATGTACTCGCGTACCGACCAAAACCCAGGACGCGTTGATAAACTGATAAACTGTAACTAACGAATTAATAAAAAAAAAAAAACTGATGGTACAAGCATCTTACGAGTTCATAGTACACAATCGTATAATTTGTTTAAATGTAATTTTTATTTTAGTCCGTTTGGGCTAAGAAATGCGTCAACTTATTTCCAACAGGAACTAAATATAATAAGGTAATAAATCAATATATTATATTATATTATCATACTAGCTGTTCCCCGCGACTTCGTTCGCGTGTTAGGGTTTTTATGTCTCTGCGCGGAACCCTGATTCTTTTTCTAAAATAAAAGTAACCTAAGTTACTCCTTATGAACTCAGCTACCTGCCAGTGAAAGTCCCGTCAAAATCGGTCCAGCCGTTTCGGAGATTACCCGGAACAAACAGACAGACAGACAGACAGACAGACAAAAATTTTAAAAATTGTATTTTAGTTATAGGTATCGTATTTACTTTCATATGCATTTAGTAAAAAACTGTAAATTTGACATTACAAACAGACACTTCAATTTTATTTATTTGTATAGATAGAATGAGTCGCTTTGACAAAAATGCAAGCAAGATTAAAATCTTTAGTATGATGTTCGAACAATATTTAAATTATATATTATGCTAACTATATTTTTCACCAGAGAGAGATAGATACAAAAACATAACTTTTTTAACAAACGAGCACACAGTCCACCTGATGGTAAGTGGTTGCTGCGGCCCATAGACATCTACATCTATCCTCTGTTACAAATCAAAATGTAGATGCGTTGTCACCCGTGAGGACCAAGATGGAATGCCTCATTTCCAGTAAAAAGGGCCTCCGGCCACCTGCACTCACCAAGCGAAACGCAGAGGTAAACCTCTACTTCACGCTGGTTTTCTGTGAGGTCGTGGTACTACCCCGGTTCGAGCCGGCCCATCCGTGCGACAGCAAAAGCTGCCGCGTGGCTCTACCACTGTAAAAACTAACTACGGGTGTAGAAGAAATGACAAAATTAGGAATGAATTAGAATTAGCCTAACTAATTACTTTTCAAAATAATCACTTTATTTTGCTTGTTTAAGATAAAAAAACAACTTTATTCACTTAAATTACTATGCAACTTTACAACTTCTTCGTCAAATACCATTCATCTTTTCTATCACTCGCTCATCTATTTCAATGCTTGTGGTCCAACAGTGATTTTTCGCACTGATGTATGTATATCTTCTTTTAGGCTTGTACAGCACAGCTGTTAGGAAAAAAGGCAAAATAATAAATAATGCGGTTACCTTTTCGTTAGTTCGTGGATGTGGTGTGACCGTAACTGTGATTTGGACTCCTTTCACTTGCCGCGGTGGTTGCCTTTTACTGTAAATAAAAAACAAAGTTATACAAAATTATTCCTGTCAACAATATTTTTTATTGAAATAACAAAATGCTATTAAATTGCTACTTACTACTAATTCGTATATTTAAGGGAATTTCTAAAAATTATTGATTTCATAGGCCCAGTACATACTGCCAAATGGTTTGACAGTGTTTTTCAGAATTATCTATATATGCAACATCTAATGTAATTAAAGCACATCATCAGACACCCTAATTAGTATATTATGTTATATTCATAATACGAGTACATACACTGACTTCTTATTAAACATGTTTATGCATTGATTATTTATTAAATTACTTATACTAATTCCGAAAGAATGTTGTGGTCATAGTAGAAATCCACGAACGCCACAGTTGCACACGTAGGTATAGGTCATATGTGGGTCTTGCTAGCCTAGTAGGTATTCGCTCGCGTTCAATACGAGTTAACGCCGCCACCGCTTGACACAACTGTACGTAGGTATTAGTGCCACCGAAAAAAGTCGACAATACACGATTGGTTACGTTAAAGAAATACCTACCTATGAACATTAACAGATATCAGAACTCCGAGCATCGAGTTGTTTATTTAAGTCTAGTAAACATTTGATTGCATTTTTCCATCACACTTTTCAGGCTTTGGACTTTAGACTCTGAATAATTTCGTTTATATGATACAATGTCAATAGGCAATATTTGTTACAAAATGTTATGAATTTGCATAACATTTTAATTGTAATTGTAAATAATAATGAACTGCTAAAAATAAGAGGCGATACTACAGCATAATTCAAAGACGGCGTGTTTAAAAGATGTGAATCAAGATTAGGGTGGATGCCCCTATTACCAGCCTTTTAGTGCCAATTTAGAAAAGGCTGGAATTGGGGCATCCACCCTACAATAATTTTAAGAATCAAATATTTAACTTAACAAATATTTTAATACACTTTCAAAATGTCCACCACCTTGTTCAATACATTTTAATGATCGTTTTCTTAATTGATATTTTAATTTAGAAAGCAATTCAGTGTCATTTTTCACTATTCTAAAAGCGTTCACTATCCTATTTTTAGGTCCTCGGCACTTGCTGTCTCATAAAATAAACTATTAATACGTCCCCACAAAAAAAGTCAAGAGGCGTCAAATCAGCTGATCTGGGAGTTTAATGGACAGGGCCGCCGCGACCGAACGAACGCACTCCAAACTCTGTATTTGTAAAGACTTTAAAATGCTCGAAATAAGGTACAATTTTCTTTATTTTGTAACGAATGACGGAATTTGTATTAATACAAATAAAACTGCACTTTTAAAAGTTTTATTGCCTTGAGTTACGGTCCATTTCAGTTTGTTTTGACTGTACAGGTTTAGTGTGACTGTAATTTACGTAGTTTTAATAATTTTTGGGATAAAAAATTACTTATATTTAAAATGATAGAAATCGATTCAGTAAACGATTCTGAACGAACTACTTTCAGGATGTGCGTTAATTATGTTACGTGTTGTATATATACTTATAATATAATCTCTGGAACTACCATCCACGTGTAAGTGATAACAGTAGTAGAGCCACGCTACAGCTTCTGCTGTAGCATGGATGGGCCGGCTCGAACCGGGGCAGTACCGGTCATTAGTTTGGACATAGTGAAGTCCTTCGGTCGGGTCTGGCGTAAATCGCTTCTTTTGAAGCTTCCTTCCTATGGGCTTCCCGAGAAATTGTGCAATTGGATCACCACTTTTCTGGCTGATCCGAGCATCAAGGTCGTAGTAGATGGTGCGTGCTCCGATTACAAGCCTATTAAGGCTGGTGTTCCACAAGGTTGCGTGCTATCACCAACGCTGTTTCTTCTGCATATCAATGATATGTTGCAAACCGGTAACATACGTTGCTATGCGGATGACAGCACTGGTGATGCTCTATATACCGGCCGTGCCAGTATTTCTGGGGTAAACGTCGCAGAATATCAGAACAAACTTGTGTCGGAAGTTGAGACTTTGTTGAACAAAATATCGGATTGGGGGCGACTAAATCTAGTCCAGTTCAATCTCCAGAAGACACAAGCTTGCGCGTTTACCGCTAAAAGGAACCCCTTTGTCGTGCCTCCTCTGTTTCAAGGCACTCGTCTTGTTGCCTCGGACAGTATCGGAATCCTCGACGTCGACATATCGAGTGATATATCGTTGTCACTTGGAAGAGAAGGCCAAATTGGCCTCTAAAAACCTTAGCGTGCTCACTTTATAAGGCGCAGGTTTGGCCTCACATGGAATACTGTTCCCATCCCTGGGCAGCGGCACTCCAGTGGTAGCTACTTCCACTTGACCGCGATCGAATCGTCGATGACCGAGTTCTTTTCGATCGGCTTGACTCACTGGCACTGCGTAGAGATGTTGCATCTCTTTGCGTATTTTATCGCATGTATCACGGGAAGTGCTCTGAGGAATTGTTCGGACTAATTCCAGCCGCTCAAATTCACCATTGCACATCGCGACAAAACTAGCGATACCAGCCATACCATATAGATGATTGGCGGTGCACCACTGTGAAATTTAGAAGCTGTTTTCTTCCTCGCACAACTTCCCTATGGATCGATTACCACCAATGATTTTTCCGGACCGATACGACTTGGGACCTTCAAGAAAAGAGCCTACTCCTTTTTAAAAGGCCGGCAACGCATCTTCAATTCCCCTGGTGTTGCATTTGTTCATGGACGGCTGTTCTCACTTACCATCAGGTGAGCCGCATGCTCGTTTGCCCCCTCTCCTATAAAAAAAAATCCGATTTGAAAAATTATCATTGTATATTATAGATTCGTGCTCGGCGCCCGGCGCGCCCCAGCCCGGCGCCAGCGACACGCGGCACAGCGCGGCGCGGTACGTACTGTACTGTACTGTACTGTACGTGCGGTGCGGTACCTGCGCGGCGGCGGCAGCACCACGCCCTCGAGGCGCAGCGCGAGGCGGTGCGCGAGCGGGAGCGTGGCGGCGTGCTCGGCGCCCGGCGCGCGCCAGCCCGGCGCCAGCGACACGCGGCACAGCGCGGCGCGGTACGTACTGTACTGTACTGTACTGTACTGTACGTGCGGTGCGGTACCTGCGCGGCGGCGGCAGCACCACGCCCTCGAGGCGCAGCGCGAGGCGGTGCGCGAGCGGGAGCGTGGCGGCGTGCTCGGCGCCCGGCGCGCGCCAGCCCGGCGCCAGCGACACGCGGCACAGCGCGGCGCGGTACGTACTGTACTGTACTGTACTGTACTGTACGTGCGGTGCGGTACCTGCGCGGCGGCGGCAGCACCACGCCCTCGAGGCGCAGCGCGAGGCGGTGCGCGAGCGGGAGCGTGGCGGCGTGCTCGGCGCCCGGCGCGCGCCAGCCCGGCGCCAGCGACACGCGGCACAGCGCGGCGCGGTACGTACTGTACTGTACTGTACTGTACTGTACGTGCGGTGCGGTACCTGCGCGGCGGCGGCAGCACCACGCCCTCGAGGCGCAGCGCGAGGCGGTGCGCGAGCGGGAGCGTGGCGGCGTGCTCGGCGCCCGGCGCGCGCCAGCCCGGCGCCAGCGACACGCGGCACAGCGCGGCGCGGTACGTACTGTACTGTACTGTACTGTACGTGCGGTGCGGTACCTGCGCGGCGGCGGCAGCACCACGCCCTCGAGGCGCAGCGCGAGGCGGTGCGCGAGCGGGAGCGTGGCGGCGTGCTCGGCGCCCGGCGCGCGCCAGCCCGGCGCCAGCGACACGCGGCACAGCGCGGCGCGGTACGTACTGTACTGTACTGTACTGTACGTGCGGTGCGGTACCTGCGCGGCGGCGGCAGCACCACGCCCTCGAGGCGCAGCGCGAGGCGGTGCGCGAGCGGGAGCGTGGCGGCGTGCTCGGCGCCCGGCGCGCGCCAGCCCGGCGCCAGCGACACGCGGCACAGCGCGGCGCGGTACGTACTGTACTGTACTGTACTGTACTGTACGTGCGGTGCGGTACCTGCGCGGCGGCGGCAGCACCACGCCCTCGAGGCGCAGCGCGAGGCGGTGCGCGAGCGGGAGCGTGGCGGCGTGCTCGGCGCCCGGCGCGCGCCAGCCCGGCGCCAGCGACACGCGGCACAGCGCGGCGCGGTACGTACTGTACTGTACTGTACTGTACTGTACGTGCGGTGCGGTACCTGCGCGGCGGCGGCAGCACCACGCCCTCGAGGCGCAGCGCGAGGCGGTGCGCGAGCGGGAGCGTGGCGGCGTGCTCGGCGCCCGGCGCGCGCCAGCCCGGCGCCAGCGACACGCGGCACAGCGCGGCGCGGTACGTACTGTACTGTACTGTACTGTACTGTACGTGCGGTGCGGTACCTGCGCGGCGGCGGCAGCACCACGCCCTCGAGGCGCAGCGCGAGGCGGTGCGCGAGCGGGAGCGTGGCGGCGTGCTCGGCGCCCGGCGCGCGCCAGCCCGGCGCCAGCGACACGCGGCACAGCGCGGCGCGGTACGTACTGTACTGTACTGTACTGTACGTGCGGTGCGGTACCTGCGCGGCGGCGGCAGCACCACGCCCTCGAGGCGCAGCGCGAGGCGGTGCGCGAGCGGGAGCGTGGCGGCGTGCTCGGCGCCCGGCGCGCGCCAGCCCGGCGCCAGCGACACGCGGCACAGCGCGGCGCGGTACGTACTGTACTGTACTGTACTGTACTGTACGTGCGGTGCGGTACCTGCGCGGCGGCGGCAGCACCACGCCCTCGAGGCGCAGCGCGAGGCGGTGCGCGAGCGGGAGCGTGGCGGCGTGCTCGGCGCCCGGCGCGCGCCAGCCCGGCGCCAGCGACACGCGGCACAGCGCGGCGCGGTACGTACTGTACTGTACTGTACTGTACTGTACGTGCGGTGCGGTACCTGCGCGGCGGCGGCAGCACCACGCCCTCGAGGCGCAGCGCGAGGCGGTGCGCGAGCGGGAGCGTGGCGGCGTGCTCGGCGCCCGGCGCGCGCCAGCCCGGCGCCAGCGACACGCGGCACAGCGCGGCGCGGTACGTACTGTACTGTACTGTACTGTACTGTACGTGCGGTGCGGTACCTGCGCGGCGGCGGCAGCACCACGCCCTCGAGGCGCAGCGCGAGGCGGTGCGCGAGCGGGAGCGTGGCGGCGTGCTCGGCGCCCGGCGCGCGCCAGCCCGGCGCCAGCGACACGCGGCACAGCGCGGCGCGGTACGTACTGTACTGTACTGTACTGTACTGTACGTGCGGTGCGGTACCTGCGCGGCGGCGGCAGCACCACGCCCTCGAGGCGCAGCGCGAGGCGGTGCGCGAGCGGGAGCGTGGCGGCGTGCTCGGCGCCCGGCGCGCGCCAGCCCGGCGCCAGCGACACGCGGCACAGCGCGGCGCGGTACGTACTGTACTGTACTGTACTGTACGTGCGGTGCGGTACCTGCGCGGCGGCGGCAGCACCACGCCCTCGAGGCGCAGCGCGAGGCGGTGCGCGAGCGGGAGCGTGGCGGCGTGCTCGGCGCCCGGCGCGCGCCAGCCCGGCGCCAGCGACACGCGGCACAGCGCGGCGCCGCCTCGCGCCTCGCACACGCCGCGCGGCCACACGGCGCCGCCGCTGCACACCTTCACCGCAAGCAGCACCGCCTCCATGTGCTGCATTCAACAATACCAATACCAACACTCAGTTCAACTAGATATTGTATAGACACAACACTGCGTACATTTCGAATGACGGCGAAACTATACTCAATTTCTGAACGGACACACCTATATTCTATCGTTCTTGATTAGCCTACAAAAATCTACTGCCGGACGCACACATATACAAAATTTAAACCATTAGAAAACAGCAATATTCAGAAGAATACGGCCGGAGAAATTTGAACTCCAAATATTAGTAAAATTAAATAATAAGTAATTTAACATCTCAGGCCGCGACATTTTATTGCATATACTTAGACTGAACTATGGTGAAGCCAAAGAATATGGTAGGTCAGGTCAAGGCCAAGCAAACGTTGTAAAGATTGGGAGTGTGTCGACGAAGGTAGCGTACCTTATACTCAGAATCACCACACGGTATTCGTTGAAGGCCATACAGGTTTATGTACCAACCTCAGCACATCCCGATGAGGTGGTGGAGGAAATGTATGAGGTTATCTTTAGAGCCATGCATTCCTGCAAAACCCACTATACGGTGTTAATGGGAGACTTCAACGCAAAACTAGGCACAAGAGGGAACGGTGAGCTGAAGGTAGGGAAATTTGGAATAGGGCAACATAACCCAAAGGATCAGCAGCTGACCGACTTCATGGAGAAAGAGGGACTCTTTATGAGAACTCTTTCTTCCAGAAGCGGCCCCACAGGAAGTGGACCTGGTCGAGCCTCGACGGTTCGACAAAAATGAGATTGACTTCATTATGGCAACTAGACGACAACTGTTCAGTAATGTCTCAGTGATCGCGAGGGTGATATCTGGTAGCGATCACCGAATGGTTGGAGGCACACTGAACCTAAACGTTAAGTTGGAGAGGTCTCGTCTAGTGAAGACAACACTCCGTCCCCGTTGCTCTAATCCAAAGTCCCGAAACCTTTCAGCTCGAGCTACAAAACCGTTTTCAGCGCCTAAAAGGCTGCAATGAAGTGGACGATATAAATGACAAGCTCGTGGAAACTGTCCATGCGATCGGAGCTAAGTTCTGCAAGACCCGCCGCAGAAGAACACAAAAACTCTCCGATCACATTCTTAATCTCATGGCTGTTAGACGGGAAATGAAGCTGCAGTCTTCAGCAGATTTGACAGCATACAGGCAACTGAACAGACAGATCTCCAAATGCATGAGACGGGACTTACGCTACTTTAAAACTGCTCGTATTGAAGAAGCGATCGAGCGGAACCAGGGCTTCAAGGTCTTTGACAGAGATCTGTCTGCCAGAAAGAGCCAACTGTCGAAGCTGAAACCGAATGTAGCAGCATCGTTACCGGGACACCTGAGATTTTGAGTGAAATTGAGAGGTTCTATGGACTGTGTACACGTCATCGTTGGAGCCACACGCAAGTGTGAGTAACGATCTAAGAGCAAGTCTTATCCGACACTATTCCTATGATATCCCGGACGTCAGTCTGAACGAGGTTAGTATTAGATTAGAGAATAGAAAGAAGCACCTTAAAAACGGCAAGTCACTGGGCGAGGATGGAATTACGGCGGAGCTTCTGAAAGCGGGCAGGAAACCGGTACTTGAAGTCCTTCAGAAGCTTTTTAATTCCATCCTCCATGGTGGTACTTCTCCGAAGGCGTGGAGCAGAAATACGGTGGTCTTGTTCTTCAAAAAAGGGCGACAATGCTCTCTTGAAGAACTACAGACAGATCTTCCTTCTGAGCCGCGTCTACGTGCTGTTTCCGAGAGTCATTACGAATCCCTCCAGCCTCCCGAACACGCCGGTTTCCGAAAGGGCTTTAGCACCATAGAGTATGTATGTGACATACCCTTCAGAAAATTGTACAGAAGAGCGAAGAGTACAATCTGTCACTTTGTCTTGCGTATGTGGACTATGAGAAAGCCTTTTATTCCGTCGAAATTTGGGCGGTGCTGCAGTTCCTTCCCTTCTATGATGGCTGTCCAAGTACAGAACTAGAGTACGAAACACAGTACTTTTACCTGGGACAAATGGTCTGATTAGGTCAGTCTAACTTCGACCGAGAAGTCGATCAACGGCTTTAACTCGGCGGGGCAGCGTTCGGGAGATTACGACACATCTTCTCGTCAGGCATATCTCAAAAGCTGAAAATAAGATTGTTCAACCAGTGCGTGTTGCCAGTGATGACCTATGGATCTGAGACGTGAGAGTACGTCACTGCTGGCCTTATGAGGAAGTTCAAGGTCGCTCAGCGAGCTGTGGAGGGCTATGCCCGGGGTTTCTTTAGTATTAGAGTAACCGACATATCCCAACGGATTAGCAAGCTGAAATGTGGAAGAAAGGTTCTCGAGTGGCAGTCTCATATCGGCAGGCGAAGTGTAGGGCATCACCCCACTAGATGGAGTGACGACCTGGTAAGACATGCATACAGTCAATGGTTGCACGTAGCTCGGGACCGTGCTTTGTGGCATTCCTTAGGGGAGGCCTATGTTCAGCAGTGGACTTGTGATGGGCTGTAATTATGATGAATGATGATTTGATATAAACATAACTACGAGTATAGAGGAAATCAGGAAATTAGAAAAATATGCAACTGAAACCATATTGTTTGTTGCAACTTGCAAATGATTTCAAATGGTCTCATACCGGCAGGCGAAGTGTAGGGCATCCCCCCACTAGATGGAGTGACGACCTGGTAAGACATGCAGGAAGTCAATGGATGCACGTAGCTCGGGACCGTGCTTTGCGGCATTCCTTGGGGAAGGCCTATGTTCAGCAGTGGACTTGTGATGGGCTGTAATTATGATGAATGATGATTTGATATAAACATAACTACGAGTATAGAGGAAATCAGTAAATTAGAAAAATATGCAACTGAAACCATATTGTTTGTTGCAACTTGCATATGTGTGTGTGTGTACATACAAAAGTTGAACATGATTTCGGCGTCACTTGAAATGAACGTAGAGAAGAAGTGTTCTATTGTGTTTTGTTGTTCTCAGTAATAACGTCGAACAGGAATGTAGTGGAACATGCAATGATGTAGCGCGATGGACTGTTCTTTGCTCTAAATCTCAGAAATGAGAAGGCATCCTTTAATCATTTTATTAAAAACACACAGTGATTATATAAATATGTACCTTTAAAATTTGATAACTAAACTTAGTGAACAATGATAAAAATTTAAAATTATGAAATATAATCTCATAATATACGAGTAACAACATATTACAACATGAACAGACTATCTGTTATATAAATTAACTACACCTCTAAATGAATGTAAATCTAATCGAGGATGGATTTAATGTTTAAAACACTGTTTATTGTAAAATACCACGAAAGTATAGTAACTTAGCAAAACCTTTATGAAAAATATCTATAAAATAAATAATGAACAATAGAAGTCTCAAGATGAATCCTAGGGGTACTCCATTCGACAACATTATCAGAAGAATCGCAAAAAGACTTACTCTATGGGTGATTCCAGGATTAGTAGTAGGATTATCAAAAAGTTTCGTAGATATCTTGGAGAGTTCTACGGAAGGTGTAAGAGCTATCAGTTCTTCGAGTGTGGTCGCTTTTAGCTCCTTAGAGAATAACTCCGCAGGCATTTCCTGTTGATTGGACGTGATGCGTTCGAGCAACTGAGCTAGCTGTGCGAATGTATGCTGCGAACTAACGATTATTTGAGTCAAGGTAAAAGAAAACAAACGAAAATAATATTATTTTTAAATAATATTGTTAGTTATAAAAAAACATTAGTAAAATAGTGACAATATAATATAATTTTTATTTAAAAAAATGGAATGATGATAAATTATAGATCAGCATGGCACCAGGACTTTTCAGTTTTATTGAAAGTTAATGAAAACTAGAGAATTAGTTATTTTTATGTTTACAATACAGTTGTCGGAGGTGTGTCTGGTTGTTTGTTGAATTGATAGTGTCTGAAATAGTAAAAAATAACTTTAATAAACAGTTATAAAAAGGTTAATAAATTGTTATGAATGCATCCGACACTGTTGGGTAATGAAAATGCACCAAACAAATTGGCGGCGTAGCGCCAATTACTGACAAAGGTGTTCCGTTTCACCAAACAACAATATTGCATGCCTTAAGCGTAAAGCGCATAGATATGTTCTACTAGCGCTTAAAAATCAAAATTCCAACGTTTTGTCGCATAAAATCGTATCTAACAATCATATTGAACATATAAATGATATAAAAAGCACACTGTCAGAAAGATAAATGATTCTTGAACTTATTAATATTTTTTTTAAATCGCTTAATTGCTATTTTTACATAAAAAGTGGTTTTAGTGGCTTATGGCGTAGATTTATCAAGTACGCATGGTGTGGTAAACACGATAACTTTTGAAAATATCAATTATTTAACTCAATCTATTTTTAATCTCTTCATCTATAATGTGGGAAGCTATGTAATGTAAATGGTTTAATTTTCTTTTGTTTATTTATAATTAAATTTTTTCGGCGTGGATATCCGGAAAATTTCGGTGTTATAGCAGCCTTGTAATAATTTATTTTTATTAAATAGACATCCTCTGCCTCACTCACTTACTTCGGCGTCAATCGCCTTCGTGAGTGGACACTGAGTTAGTTGTTTGCAGCGGCTCAAAAAGATCGCTATACAAAATATTCGAAATACCAAATTTCATACATATACATATACAATAATAATCAGAGATATTTATTACAATGTTTTAAAAGCACAGAATAAATAATAGTACTACGTACTAAAAGTAAGTAGGATGTATATATTTATACGTCTTGAACTTTACGGAGTGACCTGAATGATGATATGATAACCATATGAGCATTATGAGTCGTGCAATTTTGGATTTTCCAAACTTTATTTAAATTGAAGTTTGACATAAAATTATTAGAAAATTGGAAGTTAATAATAAGGTTATTAGTGAAAACTTGTGTGTATTTAAACTATTAAAAAATTTACGTATAATCATGTTATACATAATTTTTTTTAATGCGATTGGGGCATGCACCAATAGCTTTTTATTTTTAATTTACTGCTGGACAAAGAATACTAATCTAGGATGCAGATGTTTTTTTTTTTTAAATTTATTATAATGTTGTCAACCAGCAAACGCATGAGATAATACGAGGGTGCGTTTTTAAGTTCGCGGAATGGGGGTAAGGATTGGAAATAAAAATTTATTTTTCCTTTTCAATATATGCACCTGCTACCCTAATACATTTTTCGGGTTCTTCAATTAACTTATGTATACCCTAAAAAAATGATTTGACTTTGTCTAAAAAATACGCCGAAACTGCTTCCTTCACTTCTTCATCACTTAAAAACTTTTTCCCACGAAGCTTCTGCAGGGCAGCCATCGCAACATGGCACTTGTGAACAGTCGCGTTGTCGTGCAGAAGGATTCCTTTGGTCAATTTTCCCCTTCTTTTCTCCTTTATGGCTTCCTTCAATTATTCTAGGATTGAAGCGTAGTAATTCTCGGTTATGGAGACACCTTTCTCTTTATAATTAATCAATAGGATTCCGTCTGAGTCCTAAAAGACTGTCACCATGATTTTCCCAGCCGATTGTGCAACCTTAGCTTTCTTGGGTGGTGGTGTGCCTTTTTTGTGCCACTGCATAGTTTGCAATGCACTGTTTGGACTCAGGTTCATAATGGTGAACCCAAGTTTTGTCACCAGTAACAATTCGAGCCAACACTTCATCTTTGTCTTCCATACAGAGGTCACGAGAAAACTCCACGCGCTGTTGCTTTTGAGGCGGCGTGAGCATTTTAGGCACCCAACTTGTGCTGACTTTAGACATACTTTAGTCGTGCGAGTGCACTGCGTTGGAGTGCAGTGAGGACGAGCGTTAAGTAGCACGGACAAGTGCGGTGTGTAACGCGTTGTGTTTTAGTCTGTACGTACAAGTGTGAACTAAAATTAAATAGAAAAATTTTGACGCAAGAAAATATATTTTTTAAAGTTATAATATAGCAATGATTACGAAATATGATCGAAGGTTCTGACAGCGATGAAGAATATATTTCAACTCATAACACCGTCAGTTTTTTATCGGAAATGTTTCCATGAACTCCAACATCAAGTTTATCTTAGTAATTTAGCCGAATCCACCGTAAGTAGTTATCAGTGTAGAATGAATGTTGCATGTGTGCGTGCGTGCGTGTGTGTGTATGTGTATTTGTGTATAGATGATGTACAAAGGATACATGTTGAAGTGCGCCAGCGTGGAGCGGTCCGCGTAGAAGGCGGTGCGTGCGATGTGCGCGTAGCGGCTCGCCACGCCGCCGAGCGCGCGCGCCGCACGCCGCAGCGCGCCCGCCGCCGCGCCCACGCGCCCGCACGCAGACCGCGCCGCCTGCACGCACACCACCGCGAATATAATAACCAATGCTCTTCTGCTTTGTTCGCCAAGATCATATGTCTTCCGATTGCGATCCCATAGTACCTAAATCACGACAGGTACACAACCAACTATGTCAGAACACGTGTACACTCAGTTACGTAGGGATGGGTTCACACTCACCTGCGTTGTGATTGACGCATACTCACCTATGTCAGTACACGTACATACTAACTTGCGTCAAGATATGGAAATATTTACCTGCGTCAGGACGGGTGCACGCTCATTTAGATCACGACGGGTAAAAACTCATTTGTGCCAGGACAATTGCACAATCACCTGTACGTACACTTGTGCACGTGATGGACGTACATTTATCTGCGTCAGGACAGATGCACATTTACCCGCATCACGAGTGCACACTCGCGAGCGACACGTGCCACTTGCACACTGACCTATACGACGGTGGGTGGCAGCTGCGGGCAGAGTGCGCGCGCTCATCCAGGCGGCGGCGAGCGGCGTGCGGCGTGCACACTGCGCACGTGCGGCGTGCACACTGCGCACGTGCGGCGTGCACACTGCGCACGTGCGGCGTGCACACTGCGACACGGAACACTGACCTGCGCGACGGCGGGCGGCGGCTGCGTGCAGAGCGCGCGCGCGGCGGCGGCGGTCTGCGCGAGCGCGGCGAGCGCTGCGGCGCGCGCGCTCATCCAGGCGGCGGCGAGCGGCGTGCGGCGTGCACACTGCGCACGTGCGGCGTGCACACTGCGCACGTGCGGCGTGCACACTGCGACACGGAACACTGACCTGCGCGACGGCGGGCGGCGGCTGCGTGCAGAGCGCGCGCGCGGCGGCGGCGGTCTGCGCGAGCGCGGCGAGCGCTGCGGCGCGCGCGCTCATCCAGGCGGCGGCGAGCGGCGTGCGGCGTGCACACTGCGCACGTGCGGCGTGCACACTGCGCACGTGCGGCGTGCACACTGCGCACGTGCGGCGTGCACACTGCGACACGGAACACTGACCTGCGCGACGGCGGGCGGCGGCTGCGTGCAGAGCGCGCGCGCGGCGGCGGCGGTCTGCGCGAGCGCGGCGAGCGCTGCGGCGCGCGCGCTCATCCAGGCGGCGGCGAGCGGCGTGCGGCGTGCACACTGCGCACGTGCGGCGTGCACACTGCGCACGTGCGGCGTGCACACTGCGACACGGAACACTGACCTGCGCGACGGCGGGCGGCGGCTGCGTGCAGAGCGCGCGCGCGGCGGCGGCGGTCTGCGCGAGCGCGGCGAGCGCTGCGGCGCGCGCGCTCATCCAGGCGGCGGCGAGCGGCGTGCGGCGTGCACACTGCGCACGTGCGGCGTGCACACTGCGCACGTGCGGCGTGCACACTGCGACACGGAACACTGACCTGCGCGACGGCGGGCGGCGGCTGCGTGCAGAGCGCGCGCGCGGCGGCGGCGGTCTGCGCGAGCGCGGCGAGCGCTGCGGCGCGCGCGCTCATCCAGGCGGCGGCGAGCGGCGTGCGGCGTGCACACTGCGCACGTGCGGCGTGCACACTGCGCACGTGCGGCGTGCACACTGCGACACGGAACACTGACCTGCGCGACGGCGGGCGGCGGCTGCGTGCAGAGCGCGCGCGCGGCGGCGGCGGTCTGCGCGAGCGCGGCGAGCGCTGCGGCGCGCGCGCTCATCCAGGCGGCGGCGAGCGGCGTGCGGCGTGCACACTGCGCACGTGCGGCGTGCACACTGCGCACGTGCGGCGTGCACACTGCGACACGGAACACTGACCTGCGCGACGGCGGGCGGCGGCTGCGTGCAGAGCGCGCGCGCGGCGGCGGCGGTCTGCGCGAGCGCGGCGAGCGCTGCGGCGCGCGCGCTCATCCAGGCGGCGGCGAGCGGCGTGCGGCGTGCACACTGCGCACGTGCGGCGTGCACACTGCGCACGTGCGGCGTGCACACTGCGACACGGAACACTGACCTGCGCGACGGCGGGCGGCGGCTGCGTGCAGAGCGCGCGCGCGGCGGCGGCGGTCTGCGCGAGCGCGGCGAGCGCTGCGGCGCGCGCGCTCATCCAGGCGGCGGCGAGCGGCGTGCGGCGTGCACACTGCGCACGTGCGGCGTGCACACTGCGACACGGAACACTGACCTGCGCGACGGCGGGCGGCGGCTGCGTGCAGAGCGCGCGCGCGGCGGCGGCGGTCTGCGCGAGCGCGGCGAGCGCTGCGGCGCGCGCGCTCATCCAGGCGGCGGCGAGCGGCGTGCGGCGTGCACACTGCGCACGTGCGGCGTGCACACTGCGCACGTGCGGCGTGCACACTGCGACACGGAACACTGACCTGCGCGACGGCGGGCGGCGGCTGCGTGCAGAGCGCGCGCGCGGCGGCGGCGGTCTGCGCGAGCGCGGCGAGCGCTGCGGCGCGCGCGCTCATCCAGGCGGCGGCGAGCGGCGTGCGGCGTGCACACTGCGCACGTGCGGCGTGCACACTGCGCACGTGCGGCGTGCACACTGCGACACGGAACACTGACCTGCGCGACGGCGGGCGGCGGCTGCGTGCAGAGCGCGCGCGCGGCGGCGGCGGTCTGCGCGAGCGCGGCGAGCGCTGCGGCGCGCGCGCTCATCCAGGCGGCGGCGAGCGGCGTGCGGCGTGCACACTGCGCACGTGCGGCGTGCACACTGCGACACGGAACACTGACCTGCGCGACGGCGGGCGGCGGCTGCGTGCAGAGCGCGCGCGCGGCGGCGGCGGTCTGCGCGAGCGCGGCGAGCGCTGCGGCGCGCGCGCTCATCCAGGCGGCGGCGAGCGGCGTGCGGCGTGCACACTGCGCACGTGCGGCGTGCACACTGCGCACGTGCGGCGTGCACACTGCGACACGGAACACTGACCTGCGCGACGGCGGGCGGCGGCTGCGTGCAGAGCGCGCGCGCGGCGGCGGCGGTCTGCGCGAGCGCGGCGAGCGCTGCGGCGCGCGCGCTCATCCAGGCGGCGGCGAGCGGCGTGCGGCGTGCACACTGCGCACGTGCGGCGTGCACACTGCGCACGTGCGGCGTGCACACTGCGACACGGAACACTGACCTGCGCGACGGCGGGCGGCGGCTGCGTGCAGAGCGCGCGCGCGGCGGCGGCGGTCTGCGCGAGCGCGGCGAGCGCTGCGGCGCGCGCGCTCATCCAGGCGGCGGCGAGCGGCGTGCGGCGTGCACACTGCGCACGTGCGGCGTGCACACTGCGCACGTGCGGCGTGCACACTGCGACACGGAACACTGACCTGCGCGACGGCGGGCGGCGGCTGCGTGCAGAGCGCGCGCGCGGCGGCGGCGGTCTGCGCGAGCGCGGCGAGCGCTGCGGCGCGCGCGCTCATCCAGGCGGCGGCGAGCGGCGTGCGGCGTGCACACTGCGCACGTGCGGCGTGCACACTGCGCACGTGCGGCGTGCACACTGCGCACGTGCGGCGTGCACACTGCGACACGGAACACTGACCTGCGCGACGGCGGGCGGCGGCTGCGTGCAGAGCGCGCGCGCGGCGGCGGCGGTCTGCGCGAGCGCGGCGAGCGCTGCGGCGCGCGCGCTCATCCAGGCGGCGGCGAGCGGCGTGCGGCGTGCACACTGCGCACGTGCGGCGTGCACACTGCGCACGTGCGGCGTGCACACTGCGCACGTGCGGCGTGCACACTGCGCACGTGCGGCGTGCACACTGCGCACGTGCGGCGTGCACACTGCGACACGGAACACTGACCTGCGCGACGGCGGGCGGCGGCTGCGTGCAGAGCGCGCGCGCGGCGGCGGCGGTCTGCGCGAGCGCGGCGAGCGCTGCGGCGCGCGCGCTCATCCAGGCGGCGGCGAGCGGCGTGCGGCGTGCACACTGCGCACGTGCGGCGTGCACACTGCGCACGTGCGGCGTGCACACTGCGCACGTGCGGCGTGCACACTGCGCACGTGCGGCGTGCACACTGCGCACGTGCGGCGTGCACACTGCGACACGGAACACTGACCTGCGCGACGGCGGGCGGCGGCTGCGTGCAGAGCGCGCGCGCGGCGGCGGCGGTCTGCGCGAGCGCGGCGAGCGCTGCGGCGCGCGCGCTCATCCAGGCGGCGGCGAGCGGCGTGCGGCGTGCACACTGCGCACGTGCGGCGTGCACACTGCGCACGTGCGGCGTGCACACTGCGCACGTGCGGCGTGCACACTGCGCACGTGCGGCGTGCACACTGCGCACGTGCGGCGTGCACACTGCGACACGGAACACTGACCTGCGCGACGGCGGGCGGCGGCTGCGTGCAGAGCGCGCGCGCGGCGGCGGCGGTCTGCGCGAGCGCGGCGAGCGCTGCGGCGCGCGCGCTCATCCAGGCGGCGGCGAGCGGCGTGCAGGCGCCGCAGCCGCCGCAGCCCGCCGCGCACGCGCCGCCCGCCCCACCGCCGGCGCCGCCCGCGTCCCCGCACGCCTCCCACAGCCCGCTGCACACCTCCACGCCCGATATGCCTGCGGTAACACGTTTTCTTTGTAGCGCTAAGTATATACGTGTGTCACGATCGAACCAAATATGCCGTAATCTCCGTCTACCCTTCTAGGTAACAAACGTGAGTTTATGTTTCCATAGATCTATCCATATATTAAAATTCACTGGTTAACAGGCCTCCCCCATAGATTATCTCATAGGGAGGATTCGCCATAGTTGCCACGCTTAGCAACCCGGTGAGCATACTGCTGCCCATCTTCTGTTTTAATTTCCCTCAGTCGCCTTTTAGTTTTATGGTAGGGTCCAGATCGCGAACTCAAAAGGTCGTAAATTCCGCCATTCGACTACTGTCGTGAACCTCTCCTAACATAAGCATTTTAAACTTATGGGGAGAAGTAAAAAGGAATATTAATAATGTTAATAATATTGGCAAAACAATCTTAGAATAGTCCAAAAAATTATAATGTTCATTTAAATACTCGAATATATAAAAGATTATAAAATGCTAGAATGTTAGTTCACAGGCTCGAGGGACCAAGAAATTTAGAATGATTCTCTAACACAATAAAATAATTAATACTAAATGATATTAACTATACATATACGTGACTGTGCGTGTACGTGACTTAGTAAGAATTGCAGGAAGACGGGCCTGTGTTTCGCGGTATTCCTGGGCGAGGCCTATGTTCAGCAGTGACCTTGTCAAAGATTGTAATGGTGATGATAGTTAGAGTAACCAATCCATGTTTAGTCTTTTTAACAAGTTTCTTCAAGTGATCACGAAACTGCACGTCAATCGATATGTCGACGCCGAGGATTCCGATACTGGCTGAGGAAACAAGGGGAGTGCCCTGAAAGTGAGGAGATACGACAATGGGGTTCTTTTTAGCGGTAAACGCGCAAACTTGTGTCTTCTGGGACACAACTGGACTAGATTTAGTCAATCCGACATTTTGTTCAATAAAATCTCGACTTCACATACAAGTTTGTTCCGGTACTCGGCGACGTTTTCTTGAGAAATGTTGGCACGGCCGGTTTATAAAGCATCACCAGTGCTGTCGTCCGCATAGCAATGAATGTTACCGTTTGCAAGATATTATTGATATGCAGAAGAAACAGCGTTGGTGGCATGCTGCCTGGTGGAATACCAGCGTTAATAGGCTCGTAATCGGAAGATGCACCGTTTGCTACGACCTTGATGCTCCAATCAGCCAAAAAACTGGTAATCCAATTGCACAATTTCTCGGGAAGCCCATTGGAAGGAAGCTTCGAAAGAAGAGCTTTGGGCCAGACCCGATCTTATATATATCGACCTTAGCTATGTCCAAACTAACTAGTTTATTGTTACGTCGCAATCATGGACTCGGCCGCCTGCATTTTGATTCTTAATTCTTAATCGAGGGTATATGTAGATGTCTATGGACCTCAGCATTCACTTACCGTTGTGTGAACTGTATGCTTGTTTGTCACCATTGTTCTTTAAAAAAATTCGATACTTGTTCAACCAAATACGATAAGATTGGAGACATCTACACCGAAACATCGCCATAAATGCAATTTTGATACAAACACTAAGAAATTGTGCCTATTTTATACAATGTTAACAATTGACTGCAATTTGAACCCTAGCCTGCTACCAAATCTAAATATAAATTCTAAATCTGGCTACTGCTACGAACTTACCATACTTGCCACACTATGAATATCTGATTAAAATAAAATATTTACCTATCAAAGCTATTTAAAAAATGAAAACACAAACCTTCTTCTAGTAATCTAGCGTCCGCAGAAGCAGCGCGGTACAGTGCAGTGAGCCAGCGTTGTGCTGCTTCGCTTGGAGCTTCTTCAGATAAACGCTTTAAGATGTTTGCGGCCAAGTTGTGATGGCCGTACCTGAAACAAATAATTCCATTTATGCATGTGCAATTTACCGTCTATGTAAAACACTTTCTACACAGAAGGATTTGCTAGTGTGAAGAGTAAAGTCTAAAAATACTTATGCTTTCAAGCTGAATATTTAATTTTGGTCATACGAGCCGGACTACTTTTTTGCTAGTAAATCGAGTAACATTTTATCCGCATAAATAAGCCATATATAACCGGACCCTTAAATCACTGTTTCGTGAAGCACGAATGTTTATACATAGATATTTATTGTATTAATTCAATTAGTCTTTCGAGTATAAAATTCCACCACTCTGCCCCCGTGCGGCAGACCCTTTCCCCGTGTGCCCAGCATAGGGAAGTAAGTAGTTACTACTTTACTTTTTTAAATTAGTCTTAATTAAACTTGCCGGTCTTTTAAGACAGTTTACTCGGTTCTCTGTAATTTTTTTGACTGTCAATATGTTTTTATAGCTTTATTTAATTTGTTATTGTTAAGCCAGTTTACTTTTTTGTCGGTTTCTTTACTTTTCAGAAACCTCCAGTAAAAAGGGTCTCCGGTTCTCTATACACACTATACGAAATTACTATACTATACGAAAGTATTAAGCCGTCATTTTACGGTGGTTTTATGAGAGCACTAGTGAATGTTACGAGTAATAAATTATTAATAATTTCAATCCCACAGAAATAGTACCTGAGCGCAGCTCTAGCGACTCTGTACCGAGTCCAGCCATCGGCATCATTCACAGACTGTAGTATCTGGTCTTCCCAGGAGTTGTTTATGCGAAAGTTTAGTTTTGCTGCCGCGCGTTCTTGAAAAAGCACCGTGCAAAGAAGAACTAGAGTCGTACCGTCATCGGAACTATCTTCTGATGTTATGTTCCTGAGAAACGAAAGGAATACAAAGTTAAGTAAAAAAACTAAAAAGTATGTAAAATAAATTGTAACCACATTCTTTACATACATAGGCTGCACTAAAAGTATCGGGAATGGAATATTTCCACTGTTCCTGTCATATTAAAATATTTTTAATTGAAAACCCCTTGGTTTTAAAAATCGAATACCATTTATTTATTTAAAAAAAGATTCTCGGTCTTGTCAAACTTGTTTAGTCGTTGAGAAAATGGAATTGACTCGAGAAAATACATGAGCGATAATTTATTATGGCTTTCGAAGTGGTTTAAAACAAAAACAGTGTATTGACCGGATGATTTCTGCATTTGGTGATGAAGCCCCATCCAAAACCACAATTTATCGCTGGTTTGCTGAATTTCAACGTGGACGTGTCAAGCTCAGTGATGATCCCCGTCAAGGTCGTCCAAAAACTGCAGTCACCCAAGAAAACGTTGATGCTGTGCGTAAGCTGATTGAGGAAGATCGACATGTGACATACCGCGAAATTCAGGCAACTTTAGACATTGGTATGAGTCAAATACAAATAATCTTGCATGAACATTCGCTCTGTGAAGAGCAAAAAGCGGCTCGCGTTACTTGGTGCATCAGAACTCTCGAAAGATTCTACGCAGGATGCTCAAATGCTGTATACAACATCGTATCAGGTGACGAATCCTGGATATACGCGTACGAACCCGAAACAAAAAAAACCAGTCACGAGGTTGAATGTTCGAAAATGAGTTAAAGCCAACAAAAATTGTTCGTTCACGGAGTGTTGCAAAAAAAAATGGTGGCCACGTTTGTCTCCAAAACCGGCCATGTTACGACTATTCCTCTTGAGGGACAAAGAACGGTTAGTTCAAGTTCCGCTAAAGTGGGGTTACGGGAAACAAAATAACTGTGCATGTGATGTATAGAAATTCGAAAATATTTATAAGAAATTGCGTGTAACGATAATGTTTGCCAAGAAACTCTCGATTATCAGAAAGGAATTAATACATATAGAGTTACTGGGAACTCGATAAGTTACTGGCAGAGCGTGATAGAGGAGTCAAAATGTTACAAACTTGATTCCCCATATGTATGTATGACTAACAATGAACAGGTATTGAGATATATGGATTTTAAAAATTTTTCAATAATCACCCAGAATTTCGTATTAAATTCTAAATAAAAATAAAACCTTTTTTTGTATGCTTTCTGTTACGGCCTACGGCTGCTCCCTTAAAGGATCCAATCCTCAGGGGCCCATGAGCTGAAGACTTCCCGAACAGACGTAGTTCGGGCCTCAATGTGGCCACGTGGAATCTCTCTAATTACACTAAAATATATGGGGGAGCGTTATACTACGGCCAGTCGACCGGAAGGAATTTGGACGAAGCTTACTTATCTATATCCAAGGCGACTGGTCCCTCCGGAGTCGGTCAGGTCGCATGTGGTTGTGTAGTGCAAGGGAAAGAATGGTGATGTGGTGTGTATCTGGGTGTGACTGATGGTGATTGAACCTAGACCTTGGCCGTCGGCAGCAGCCCAAGCGTCGACACCGCTCCAACTTGAGGGGGCCTTTCGAGGTTGTTCACAGTCACTTTCTTCTTTCGTCACGTTAACAGTCAATTAACTCTATCGTACGATTTACTAACTTACAGAAGCCACTAACTATCGCTGGTTATAAGGTTAACACACAAAACGCACACGGAGTTTACAGTTTATTAAAGGTCACTACCGTTTCGCGTTGCAACAGTTAGTTCTAGAATATTAGAGGCCGCACTAGCTAATATTGCCTAATGCACTTATGCAGATTCTGAGTCAAACACAATGAGTCCCTGGGAAGCTCTCCAGCAGGAATACGCGTCACAATGATAGACCGTATATTTACTGGCCGCGCCGAATTATTCCGACTTCCCTAACAGAATACAGCGTGCCAATCGTTAGCACCGCTTAAGGACGACTGACTTTTCGCTCGCGACCCGCGCGCCACTCCACGCTCGGAAGAACTTCAAGCCGGTATTGCCCAGAGCCGCGCGCCCCCTAGACGTCGATTCCGACAACAGCGTTTTGCGCGAACACTTTCTTTTAAGTTTATTTATTTTCTTGAAGCTTCTACCAAGCGAATACAATCATAAAAAGTACAAAAGAATTCACAATAAAAAAATATGGGTCTTAATATTTTTGTTCTTTTTTTTACACTTTATCATAAAATGTACGTACTTCAAAAAATTACTATGACATGAGACATAAAAATATTTTAAAAAACATGCCCATTTAATCAGCTATTCAAAAAGTCCCTGCCAGGAAGTTGTCGAGTTCCCAGTAACCCTGTATATTTTATACTATATCAATTTAGTTTAAATCCCTCGGAAAAGTAAAAAGTGGGGAGTATTGTATATATGGTAAGCAGATGGAATAGATAGTCGTAGCGATCAGATGAATATTATGTATTTTGATTCCCTCCATATATTGCAGTATGACTGCGGGCGAGCAGCGCGTGCAGCGCGGGCGGACTGCAGTACCTGCGGGCGAGCAGCGCGTGCAGGGCGGGCAGGGCGGGCGGCAGGCTGCGCGTGCAGGGGGGGCGGACTGCAGTACCTGCGGGCGAGCAGCGCGTGCAGGGCGGGCAGGGCGGGCGGCAGGCTGCGCGTGCAGGGGGGGCGGACTGCAGTACCTGCGGGCGAGCAGCGCGTGCAGGGCGGGCAGGGCGGGCGGCAGGCTGCGCGTGCAGGGGGGGCGGACTGCAGTACCTGCGGGCGAGCAGCGCGTGCAGGGCGGGCAGGGCGGGCGGCAGGCTGCGCGTGCAGGGGGGGCGGACTGCAGTACCTGCGGGCGAGCAGCGCGTGCAGGGCGGGCAGGGCGGGCGGCAGGCTGCGCGTGCAGGGGGGGCGGACTGCAGTACCTGCGGGCGAGCAGCGCGTGCAGGGCGGGCAGGGCGGGCGGCAGGCTGCGCGTGCAGGGGGGGCGGACTGCAGTACCTGCGGGCGAGCAGCGCGTGCAGGGCGGGCAGGGCGGGCGGCAGGCTGCGCGTGCAGGGGGGGCGGACTGCAGTACCTGCGGGCGAGCAGCGCGTGCAGGGCGGGCAGGGCGGGCGGCAGGCTGCGCGTGCAGGGGGGGCGGACTGCAGTACCTGCGGGCGAGCAGCGCGTGCAGGGCGGGCAGGGCGGGCGGCAGGCTGCGCGTGCAGGGGGGGCGGACTGCAGTACCTGCGGGCGAGCAGCGCGTGCAGGGCGGGCAGGGCGGGCGGCAGGCTGCGCGTGCAGGGGGGGCGGACTGCAGTACCTGCGGGCGAGCAGCGCGTGCAGGGCGGGCAGGGCGGGCGGCAGGCTGCGCGTGCAGCGCGGGCGGACTGCAGTACCTGCGGGCGAGCAGCGCGTGCAGGGCGGGCAGGGCGGGCGGCAGGCTGCGCGTGCAGCGCGGGCGGACTGCAGTACCTGCGGGCGAGCAGCGCGTGCAGGGCGGGCAGGGCGGGCGGCAGGCTGCGCGTGCAGCGCGGGCGGACTGCAGTACCTGCGGGCGAGCAGCGCGTGCAGGGCGGGCAGGGCGGGCGGCAGGCTGCGCGTGCAGCGCGGGCGGACTGCAGTACCTGCGGGCGAGCAGCGCGTGCAGGGCGGGCAGGGCGGGCGGCAGGCTGCGCGTGCAGCGCGGGCGGACTGCAGTACCTGCGGGCGAGCAGCGCGTGCAGGGCGGGCAGGGCGGGCGGCAGGCTGCGCGTGCAGCGCGGGCGGACTGCAGTACCTGCGGGCGAGCAGCGCGTGCAGGGCGGGCAGGGCGGGCGGCAGGCTGCGCGTGCAGCGCGGGCGGACTGCAGTACCTGCGGGCGAGCAGCGCGTGCAGGGCGGGCAGGGCGGGCGGCAGGCTGCGCGTGCAGCGCGGGCGGACTGCAGTACCTGCGGGCGAGCAGCGCGTGCAGGGCGGGCAGGGCGGGCGGCAGGCTGCGCGTGCAGCGCGGGCGGACTGCAGTACCTGCGGGCGAGCAGCGCGTGCAGGGCGGGCAGGGCGGGCGGCAGGCTGCGCGTGCAGCGCGGGCGGACTGCAGTACCTGCGGGCGAGCAGCGCGTGCAGGGCGGGCAGGGCGGGCGGCAGGCTGCGCGTGCAGCGCGGGCGGACTGCAGTACCTGCGGGCGAGCAGCGCGTGCAGGGCGGGCAGGGCGGGCGGCAGGCTGCGCGTGCAGCGCGGGCGGACTGCAGTACCTGCGGGCGAGCAGCGCGTGCAGGGCGGGCAGGGCGGGCGGCAGGCTGCGCGTGCAGCGCGGGCGGACTGCAGTACCTGCGGGCGAGCAGCGCGTGCAGGGCGGGCAGGGCGGGCGGCAGGCTGCGCGTGCAGCGCGGGCGGACTGCAGTACCTGCGGGCGAGCAGCGCGTGCAGGGCGGGCAGGGCGGGCGGCAGGCTGCGCGTGCAGCGCGGGCGGACTGCAGTACCTGCGGGCGAGCAGCGCGTGCAGGGCGGGCAGGGCGGGCGGCAGGCTGCGCGTGCAGCGCGGGCGGACTGCAGTACCTGCGGGCGAGCAGCGCGTGCAGGGCGGGCAGGGCGGGCGGCAGGCTGCGCGTGCAGCGCGGGCGGACTGCAGTACCTGCGGGCGAGCAGCGCGTGCAGGGCGGGCAGGGCGGGCGGCAGGCTGCGCGTGCAGCGCGGGCGGACTGCAGTACCTGCGGGCGAGCAGCGCGTGCAGGGCGGGCAGGGCGGGCGGCAGGCTGCGCGTGCAGCGCGGGCGGACTGCAGTACCTGCGGGCGAGCAGCGCGTGCAGGGCGGGCAGGGCGGGCGGCAGGCTGCGCGTGCAGCGCGGGCGGACTGCAGTACCTGCGGGCGAGCAGCGCGTGCAGGGCGGGCAGGGCGGGCGGCAGGCTGCGCGTGCAGCGCGGGCGGACTGCAGTACCTGCGGGCGAGCAGCGCGTGCAGGGCGGGCAGGGCGGGCGGCAGGCTGCGCGTGCAGCGCGGGCGGACTGCAGTACCTGCGGGCGAGCAGCGCGTGCAGGGCGGGCAGGGCGGGCGGCAGGCTGCGCGTGCAGCGCGGGCGGACTGCAGTACCTGCGGGCGAGCAGCGCGTGCAGGGCGGGCAGGGCGGGCGGCAGGCTGCGCGTGCAGCGCGGGCGGACTGCAGTACCTGCGGGCGAGCAGCGCGTGCAGGGCGGGCAGGGCGGGCGGCAGGCTGCGCGTGCAGCGCGGGCGGACTGCAGTACCTGCGGGCGAGCAGCGCGTGCAGGGCGGGCAGGGCGGGCGGCAGGCTGCGCGTGCAGCGCGGGCGGACTGCAGTACCTGCGGGCGAGCAGCGCGTGCAGGGCGGGCAGGGCGGGCGGCAGGCTGCGCGTGCAGCGCGGGCGGACTGCAGTACCTGCGGGCGAGCAGCGCGTGCAGGGCGGGCAGGGCGGGCGGCAGGCTGCGCGTGCAGCGCGGGCGGACTGCAGTACCTGCGGGCGAGCAGCGCGTGCAGGGCGGGCAGGGCGGGCGGCAGGCTGCGCGTGCAGCGCGGGCGGACTGCAGTACCTGCGGGCGAGCAGCGCGTGCAGGGCGGGCAGGGCGGGCGGCAGGCTGCGCGTGCAGCGCGGGCGGACTGCAGTACCTGCGGGCGAGCAGCGCGTGCAGGGCGGGCAGGGCGGGCGGCAGGCTGCGCGTGCAGCGCGGGCGGACTGCAGTACCTGCGGGCGAGCAGCGCGTGCAGGGCGGGCAGGGCGGGCGGCAGGCTGCGCGTGCAGCGCGGGCGGACTGCAGTACCTGCGGGCGAGCAGCGCGTGCAGGGCGGGCAGGGCGGGCGGCAGGCTGCGCGTGCAGCGCGGGCGGACTGCAGTACCTGCGGGCGAGCAGCGCGTGCAGGGCGGGCAGGGCGGGCGGCAGGCTGCGCGTGCAGCGCGGGCGGACTGCAGTACCTGCGGGCGAGCAGCGCGTGCAGGGCGGGCAGGGCGGGCGGCAGGCTGCGCGTGCAGCGCGGGCGGACTGCAGTACCTGCGGGCGAGCAGCGCGTGCAGGGCGGGCAGGGCGGGCGGCAGGCTGCGCGTGCAGCGCGGGCGGACTGCAGTACCTGCGGGCGAGCAGCGCGTGCAGGGCGGGCAGGGCGGGCGGCAGGCTACGCGTGCAGGCGGGCGCGCCGCCCAGCGCCGCCAGCGCCTCCAGCAGCGCGGCCACGCGCGCTCCGCTCGTCCCGCTTCGCGCAGCCGCCTCCAGCTGACGGCCCAAGGTGCCCGCTGTGCGCTCTGCGTATAAGCTCGGCTCCGCGGTACTCAGTTGCACCTGCATAATGTATGTACAACTGTGGATGAAGCTCCAGACAACCTGTCTACGCATACCCGCGTTGTAAAGACGGGTTATATCGGAGTCACACCGTCTAAAACCCCATGGTGTTCTACCTTCATCGCATATAAGCGGGCTAAGGAAACGCTTTTGCACATATCCGCGACCCCACCAGCACCGGCCGCCACTTTTTAGGAGAGAATTAGTCCTCCCCCTTCTCCTTCTCAGGCAGAGCGCAACAGAGTACAAGGCGCGCCTTTTTCCACAACCTCCAACTTCACTCCGGTCATTTTCCTGATTTTTCAACAATTCTTTAGTTATAAAAAAAATATTCCGGTTACACATTAATAACCATAAAATCAAGTTACGCTAATAGTTTTAAATTAATACAAAATATAATACGATTATCGGTTTTATTTTGCGACCACTTTAATAAATCATTAGTGTCGACGTTCCTTTATAAGAACATCCTGTGCGTTACTGGCATCCCCTCGCTACGTAAAGGGGTACCCTAGTGGCACAAGAACGGTGTAATTATATTAAATTTCTGTGCTTAGTACATAAACTAAATCATACGCGTTTATAATAGTATGTGAACAGTGTGATAATAAGTATATGAACAATGGATTCTTTATCAGTTACCCGACTCCACAGAGTCAGTAATTCATTCTTGGGGCGGACACGCTTTTACAACAAAATCCCAGAAAAAATACAAAAGGAGTCAATCGTTTTTGGGCCCACTAGAAATTTTCGCGACCCTCAATGATATTATATACAAAAAAAATATTCCAATTTATTATTGTAAATAGCACAAAGATTTTATGAAAATCTAAACGAAATCAAGAAATCTGAAAAAAAAAAAGAGTTGTTTTGATATTTATGTTCATGTCATTGGTTCAGATAATGTAAAATTAAAAAAAATTGTAGTAGAGATGTGCCAACTCTGAATAAACTCGACTCGAGTTAACTTGAGTTGAAATTCACTTAACTCGAATAGTACTCGAGTTACGCAACTCGAATTGGCGGAACGAAGCTGTGTCAGTTTGTTACAAATTATTTTTATATTTGTTCTTCCATCCAAGATAATTATTACTATTACTTAACTTAATAGGTAATTATATATTATTGGTTTGCGTATAGACAATCTTCATAAAATAATATCACTAACTTTATAACGTAGCGTAAAGTTAATGTTATTAATAATTACTATCATAATATATGAAAAGTAGTACACAACACTATTTACCAAACAGCGTAAAGCAATCCGTAGGGGTTTTATGTGACCCGAGGCTTGACCAGTGGCAATGACCAGGGATTCCAAAGCTAGCATTAAATCAGCGCCTTCAACTGGAAGACTCTCCTCGTAGCTGTAATCAAAAGAATAAAGATAGGTATTATTTTTAATTTTTAAAGAAAATGCATCTCTTATCACCCTCTGCATGCTCATGCTATGGACTACATGCTTATTTGTCACCTTTACTTGTATAAAAAAGGATAATATCAGTCATGAACGATTACTGTCCTTTTTTGAGATTTAGTGGTATTTTTAGGTCAAGAAATGGCCACAAATTACCGTTACAGTTAAATACGGTAACCACTAGAACTAAAAGCTTATTTCTAGAGAGCTTGTTATTTATAAATTATATACACATATAAACGTGTGTGTGAGTGTATATTCTTCTTCGTCAGCATGTAATAGTCCTTGCGCAATTACTTCCGTGTTTTACTATTTTTACCAATTCATTTGTTGAACTTACAACTGACAAATTTGATCCTGCGAGCCGGATCCGAATCGACGACCTATGGATTATTAAGTGGCGAAGCTTGCGAAGTCACTTATTGATTTCACGATGTCTGTCCGTCTGTCCCACGATTATCTCGAGAACGGTTTCGAATGTTCAAATTCTGTTTTCAGCAATCGATTACTGATCACCCGGGCATCTGAACCTCCTATTTTGAAACTGATTGCTCAACGGCAACCGTTAGAAACCGCTACAAAGCTGATTGCTTCGCCACTTTGCTATGCTGTAACTTCCGGCAGGCGGAATGGTAATCCCAACAGACGACGACGCGACGTGTGGAAATGCATTATTTTAAGGTGAAACACACGGTCTGCTCTCGGCCATATTCCCGCGAGATGGCGCAGATGTCATCATTTTTTAGTTTATTTAGATTTTTGTGTAATTCGAACATTATCACGAGTAAATCTCAGCTAATCCTATTTTTAATTGGACGCTAGTTGATATTATGATTTATTTGATATTAATATGTATAAATGCTGTAGAAATACCGCATATTTACAGCATTGATACATAGCGATTAACAATAATTAAGAAGTATGTTTGCTAGTTGTGACTGAATAATAGGGTATGAAAAGAGAATACGGTTTGAAGGAGAATATTGTGATCAGAATTAAGAAAGACATGCGTCGGTAGTTTGGACAATATAAAAGAAGTTTAGTAGCGAGCGTGTCATTTAGGAAGTAAATAGGAGGCAAAAGTTCGGTGCATTGACTCGTACACACACGATCGCGTGTATGTAGTAGTTGTTGCCCATAAATCACATTCAATTTCGCATATTTTCAAATAAATGTAGAAACCTTATTTACGCGTAATTTTAAAAACTATTGGTAAATCCGATTGTGCATGCCTTAAGTAGATTAAAAAAGTTTTAACCTTAAACCTTATAATTATTACTATACTGGAAGTATATATCTTCCGAGAATTTTGTCAAATTTAAAAAAAAAAGCTTGGTAAATACAAAAGTGCACGACTCATAAGATCGTGAAAAATTAAAAAACAATTTTAAATTGTAGTTCTATTCGTCAAAGAGTTCCAGTAGCAGTCACGTTCATGTCACTCTATCAAGTCCAGAGGTAAGGTATATTCATAACTAACAAAACGAGCCCAAATTCAGGACACCTAGTTCTCCTCGTCGAGGAGTTCCAGTAGCAGTCATCAAAGTACACCTTCAGGTCACTCTATCAAGTCCGAAGGTAAGGTCTCATCATAACTAACATAACGAGACTAAACTCGGCACATCTAGTTCTACTCTTCGAGGAGTTCCAGTAGCATTCATCGAAGTACACCTTCAGGTTATTCTATCAAGACCGGAGGTAAGGTCTCATCATAATCAGGTCACTCTATCAAGCCCGGAGGTAAGGTCTCATACCTACACGCTTTGCGCTTAAGGCATGCAAAACTGCAAAAAGTGTATATCAGTATTTATAATTTGAACATAATTATTAAAGTACAATGGCAGAAAAATACCTAGTCAGGTCATAAATTCTGTGACATGTTTTATATAAAATAATTGAAACAAGTTTATTCATTATGTAACCATTTATATACCAAAATGAACTTAACAAAACATAGATTTTTATGACACTAAAGTTTATTCAAAATGACCTCCGTGATTTTGAATACAGGCCTTCAATCTGCGCGGCCAGTCGTCTATCGCAGCACGAACGAGGTCCATGTCAATATCGGCGGCTGCCTTAATCAAGGATGTCTTGAGTGACTCCAAATTGGGATGAGGCTTTGAGCACGCCTTTTCCTAAAAGTGTTGCCATATCTTGTAATCTAACGGATTCAAATCTGGACTGGAGGTGGGCCAGTCTTCGTGCCGGATGAAGTCGATTTCACGCGCCGCCAGCCAGTCTTGTGTGCTCTTCGCTCTATGAGCTGGCGCCGAATCTTGTTGGAATACCCAGTGCCTGTTACTGAACATGGTATGAGAACAGGTTCCACAAGGTTCGTCAGGACTGTATTTTGATACACAACTGCATTCGTTTTTACACAAAAATGTACCTCTGTTCAGCCCCAATAAGAAACTCCCAACCATACCATGAGCGAGGATGGAAAATGACCTCGTTGGACATGCGGAATACGGTTGCTCGCTTCTTCACTACTGTGTGCGTACACCTTATCATTTTGTTTATTGTAGCTCTCTTCTACAGTAAAAATTTTTTCATCCGAAAAAAGAATTTCCCGATATTTTTTTCACGCGTACCGCTTCAACAAAGCGCGGCATCTCTTCAGTCTCAGGTCTATTAGACGAGCATTCAAACGATGTCCTGTTTTTCTTCGATATGCCCGAAGCCCTAAGTCTTCATTTAACACCCTTTTCACCGTGGTTCTGCATAACCCCATCTGAAGGGCCAACAGTTTCTGCTTACGTTTGGGATTTCTTTGAATTCGCGCTTTCACAGCTTTTATCACTGCTGGAGTCCTAACAGACCGAGAGCGACCACTTCTTGACCTGTCATCTACACTAGTCTTCATTGTATCGTTTGATGGTACGATAAACGAATCTTTTGGTTATATTCAAATTTTTCAGTATGTCAAAAATTTGAATTGGCGCGTAACCGTAACGATGCAACGCAATAACTGCAACACGGTCTTCTTTAAGCGTCCACTCCATGTTTGAAAATGAGTAAAATTCTAAATAGTATACAGTTTTATTTTCATGAACAATTCGAAATTCGAATTCAATTAACTTTTTTGTGGCCAGCATTGTAAAAGAAAAGTTTTTACTGTGTGACAATACTTATGACCTGACTAGGTAGTTGACAAAAATTATTGCGTCGAGAAATAAGTTATATATAAAATGAGTTTTATCATTTTTCTATGATTTTCAAATAAAAATGTATTTTAATTAAAGCCATAGAAAAAACCAAACATTTTTGGGAATATCAAATAACTTAAATCATTTTACTACTTTACTATATTCATACTATTTTCGTATAACTTTGTAAGAGTACCAACACAACACACAAACACATAATATTTTTTTATATTAAGTTATTATTATTAATAACTATTCTATCAGTAATAATAAAAATAAAAGTGATATGGTTGAAAATAAGTCTCTTACAAAGAACTTCCTACAATAATACATTATCTCAATCATAGTACTTTGTAACAATTCCATTTAATGTCACTGGTTTTTTTTACTGGCTTTACGGCTCTGGGTTCTAGCCCTTCTGAGAATGTCACTGTATGACACAAAGGCCCTGGAGCAATATAGTATGCAAATACATAATAGAGATACAATAATCTAAAAACTCTCAATTATGTAAGTAGGTATATTATGTTGAGAATGTATTAAGCTAACATCAAACAACCACAGGATGCATGACTTTTTCCAAGTGACAAGACATAACCTAAAAAGGTTAAAATCTAAATATATTCTTTTTGACGCCTTCTCAGGACAAATCTTTGACAGAGTTATTAAGGGACTGACGCTTAACATTTTAAGATATTTTTGATATATAGACGCTACCATTCCTTCTCAACTAATTTTATGTATGAAAGTCTGCCATTGTTCTTTGGCTAGTCTTTAAAAAATAACCCCGTAGATTACAAGAATATTTATTTAAAGTCACACACGGTCACGGGTAAGGGGTTAAGCTTTATCCCTGGTGTGGTAAAAACCTCAGTCCTGGGAAGAACTAGCAAAATCCCTCGGGATTTTTTGTACATATTAATTTAAAATAATAATATTTTATTGGATCCATCCATCATCGTCCATTAACGTTATTTTAATCCTGAAAAAAAAATCGAGTTATGTTACCAGTGCACGACGACGCGGGTGAGGACGTCCGCTGCGGTGGCTGCGTGGCGCAGGTCTGCGCTGAGCGTGGCGTCGAAGCAGTAGCTGCGTAGCGTGCCCGCGCCCACCCCCGCGCACACCGCCCCGCACCGCACTAGCATCTGTACGACCACCCCTTGTCACCACTACACAGCAGACTAGACTCTCAAACATTACCTCGAACCTAGCCTTAAACAGAAAGTACTTAGGTACTCCTCCAAGGCCATTCAATATAGCCCAGTTTACGTGGTAGAGCCACGCTCGACCGAATGCGGAGACCCGGTTGGGAAAGAACAGAATAACAGCGTGAAATAGCAGCATAATATTGCTGTGATTTGTGTTGTGAGTATCAGAGAACTTTCTACTGGTAATGAGGCATTCCATATCCTCCGGTGGTGACTACACATCAGCAATATGTTTCTTAATAAAGAATAGATATGGGTATCTTTAGACCGCAGTTATCTACTTACCATACACCTGATGGGAGTAAAAATAGAGATGGAGCATCTCCAGTTGCATTCAGAGCGGAGATATTGGGATCTTCGACAGCGCTGATGGTAACTACAGACAGTGGTGTTTTAGCTGGTAAGACTTTAGCATAAAGTCTTTTTTTATAGGATAGGGTGACAAACGAGCAAATAGTCCACCTGATGGTAAGTAGTTGCTGTGGCCCATGGACATCTACATCTATCCTCGTTTGCGAATTAAAATGCAGATGCGTTGTCACCCGTGAGGATTAAGGTAGAATACCTCCTTTCCCGTAAAAAGGGTCTCCGGTTCTCTACATTCACCATACGAAACACAGCAGTGTTAAGCTGCTATTTTACGCTGGTATTCTGTGAGAGCGTGGTACTTCCCCGGTCGAGCCGACCCATTCGTGCTACAACTATACTACTAATATAGCTCCAGCTTAGCTCTACCACATACAGTTGCCTCCAGCATAAAATGTCGACCTTGGTTATTAATACCAAATATGCTATTGGAAGCCCCAGCATCAATATCTAATAAGTATATGTTTCAGAGTATTGACACTACTTAAAATTCTGTATTATAATTAAAAAAGTAATATCTCATCACTAGAAAAGGAAAAAATATTTGCAAAATCCAAAAGTGGACACTTCAATGCCCTATTTGATTCTTAGTTGAGGATCAATGTAGATGTCACGTTTTTCTTAACATGCATTAGAGTCACTCAATCTAAGAACAAATGAAGAATATTAAAAGAAATACTTGAAATTTGAAAGAAAAAAAGGAAAGAAAAGAAACTAAAAAAAATGAAATGGATTACAGAAGTGATTATCGAAAGGAACCAGCTATATATGATTCTGAAGGTGAAACAAATTAGGTCGTTTTGCTAAGTAGTTCTCGAGATATCTTGTACACAGAGAGTTTATGAACCACAGATTAAATGACAACCCCAATATAATTTTTTATCGGATTTTTTTTTTATAATAATACATGTTGTTGAACTAAAAAAAGTATCAGGCATGTACATTAGAATTACCTCTTTCTAATCATGTGCTTTCCAAAACATATTAGTGGGATGTAAAATCATCATCATCATCATTACAGCTCTTCACAAGTCCACTGCTGAACATAGGCTTCCCCCAAGGAATGACACAAAGCACGGTCCTGAGCCACCTGCATCCATCAACTCCCTGCATGTCTTACCAGGTTGTCACTCCATCTAGTGGAGGGACTATACTTCATCCACCGGTAGGAGGCCGCCACTCGAGAACTTTTTTCCCCGTCGGTTGTCGGCTCTTCGAGTTATATGGCCGGCCCTAACTACTAAACGGCTACTAATCTCATTTCGATCCAAGCATAGCCCTCTCCATAGCTCGTTGAGCGACCTTGGGCTTCAACATACGGCCAGCAATCAAGGACCATGACTCAGTTCCATAGGTCATCACTGGCAACACACACTGGTTGTACAGTCTCGTTTTCAAGTTTTGAGGTATACCTGACAAGAAGATGTGCCGTAATTTCCCGAACGCTGCCCAGCCGTGTTGAATCCGTCGATTGAGAAGTCAATAAGAAGAGAGAGTAAGTTAGACTTACCTAGTCAACGACTTCGAGCTTAGTGCTTCCAACAACTACGGGCATAGGTGTGACATCGACGTTATACATGATCTTTGTTTTGTCCATGTTCATCTTAAGACCTATCCGTTGGAAGGCACTATAGAGGTCATTAATCATAGTGCTGAGGTCCTCCAGCGATTATGCCATAAGGATTATATCGTCGGCAAATCGAAGGTGAGTGATGTACTCGCCGTTAATGTTAATACCGTATCCTTTCCAGTCTAGTAGCTTAAAAATGTCTTCCAATGCAGCGGTGAAGAGTTTCAGGGATATAACGTCACCCACTCCTGTTGGATAGGTTTCGTACTCGGGTTCTGTACTCGGCTAGCCATCGTAGCCTTACTGTACAAACACTTCAGCACTTCAATACACCGACAGTTAACTTGGCACCGCTGAAGAGACTGCAGCACCGCCGAATTTCGACGGAATCAAAGGCTTTTTCATAGCCCACATACGCCAGACATAGTGGAAAATTGTACTCTTCGGACTTCTGTACAATTTGCCGAAGGGTATGTATGTATGTATGTATGTGGTCTATGTTTTAGCATCATACGAGGGGCACACTGAAATGATCGGGAATAAGAAAAACCATATGCACGGTATAGCTAAATTGTATTTTATGGTTTTTCGAAGTATTGTCCGTTCAACTTACAGCACTTTTCCATTCGTGCAAACCAATCATTAAAACAGTAAGTCCAGTCTGAAGTTGATGTTGCCAAATGGCTGATTTGTACGCTTCCACAGCTGCTTCGGGGTCTTCAAACCGTTGACCGCGTAATAAATCTTTCATTCTAGGGAATGTAAAGAAATCGTTTGGGCTCAGGTCAGGACTGTACGGAGGATGGCTCATCAGCTCAACGTTTTCCTGCTTCAAAAAATAATTTGTCTTCCGAGCCGAGCTCGCATTATAGTGATGTAAAATGATGCGACGTTTCGGGTTATTTTTTCGGAGTTCGGCTATCATTTCTGGCAAACAAACCGTGATATACCACTCAGCGGTAACCGTTCTGCGTTCCTGTAAAGGAATTGTAGCAACATGCCCCTTTTTCGAGACAAACGTAGCGACCATTTTCTTTGACACGCTGCGGGAGCGAACCACTTTCGTTGGTTTGACCTCGTCTTCGAAGACCCAAACTGCTGACTGATGTTTTCTTTCAGGTTCATATGAATAAATCCATGATTGGTCACCTGAGACGATATTATAAACGGTATTTGAATTCCCTCCGTTGAAGCGTTGCAGAGTATTCCGGCATCAATCTACCCGAGCCGCCTTTTGCTCTTCGGACAAAATGTGGGGAACCCAGCGGGAAACTAGCATTCTTACACACAGCTCATTATGTAATATCGACTGAATTGCAGTCATTCCGATACTGATAACAGCCCGAATCTGCTCGTGTGTCACAATGACGGTCATCTAATATAATAGTTCGCACAGCTGCGATATTTTCAGGCGTGACCGCTGTTCTAGGTCGACTTGCAGAAGAAACAGTACTGAGCTACACACGACCGCGTCGGAACTCGGCATACCAGCGGTATATTGTCGTTTGACTCGGTGCTTCAACATCATAAATAGAAACAAGTTCGCTGAGACATTTATCTTGAGATAAGCCGCGACGAAAATTGTGATAAATTATGGCACGGAAATGTTCACGCCTGAGCTCCATTTCTGTTAAAAACGTGTAACCACGTGTAACTTTAAATCAACATAGTTTTTGTTTTTAAACATTTTTTTTAATTGTTTGAATGTCATTAAGATTCTAAGAGGCCAGTATTCAAATTCTAACAAAGTTTTTATTGTATCATCATTTCAGTGTGCCCCTTGTAGACTAGATACTTACATACGTAGCCTTTTCGAAAAACGGCTTGTTCCAGTCTTGGTGGTAGTCGTCGAGTCTGTGTGTGAGATGATTTGTAATGACTCTCGAAAACAGCACGTAGACGCCGCTCAGAAAGCAAACCAGTCTGTAGTTCTTCAAAAGAGCGTTGTCGCCTTTCTTGAAGAACAAGACTACCGCATTTCTGCGCCACACCTCCGGAGTAGTCCCACCATGGTGGATGGAATTAAAGAGCTCCTGAAGGACTTCAAGTACCAGTTTTCCACCCGCTTTCAGAAGCTCTGCTGTAATTCTATCCTCGCCTGGGTCCTTCCCGTTTTTAAGGTGCTGGAGAGTCATTCTAATCTCGCTCAGACTGACATCCGGAATATCATCGGATAAGATTTGCTCTTGGATCGTTACTCACACATACGTGTGGTTCCAACGATACAGCTGCCCATAGCACCTCTCAATCTCCCTCAAAATCTCAGGTGTCAGGGAAAAGACGCTTGTTACACTCGGTCCTCAACTTCGACAGTTACATTTTTCTGGCAGACAGATCTCTAGCAAAGACTTTGGAGTCCTGGTTCCGCTCTATCGCTTCTTCAATACGTGCTGTATTGAGGTTGCGTAAGTCCCGCCGCATGCATTTGAAGATTTGTCTGCTCAGTTGCCTGTACGCTGTTAAATCTGCTAAAGACTACAGCTTCATTTCCCATCTAACAGCCATGAGATTAAGAGTGTGATCGGAGAGTTTTTATGTTCTTTTGCGGCGGGTCTTGCAGCAGACGATAATGCAGTGGACGATAAGTTATTCATATCATCCACTGCATTGCAACCTTTACGCACTAAAAGCGGTTTTGTAGCTCGAGCTGAAAGGTTTAGGGACTTTGGATTAGAGCACGAGGGGGTTGGAGCGTTGACTTCATTAGACGAGACCTGTCCAACTTAACGTTTAGGTTCAGTGTGCCTCTCACCATTCGGTGATCGCCGCCGGTTTTCACCCTCGCGATCACTGAGACATCACTGAACAGTTGTCGTCTGGTCGTCATAATTCAAGCCAATCTCATTTTTTGTCGGACCGTCGGGGCTTAACCAGATCCACTTCCTGTGAAGCCGCGGTACGACTTTCCATTGACTCCCATCGAGTTGGGGGATGATACGTATTTTTACAGAAAAGTTACACTATTATAAGCACACACACAAGTTACAACATGCGGAAGCGCGTAATTTTTGAGAAAAAAGTTATTGAAAATCAATTATTCTTGCATTGTTTATGTCTAATCCTACAATAAAACTGACGCCATTTTTTATTGTAATTGTCAGTAGGGATGTCGATTCTTTCCGAAAAAGATCGATTTTTTTAAATAGATTCGAATTGTAAGCTGAGGTATAGATCCCCAAAAAATCGATTTCTAAAATATCTATATTTTTTTCATGTTTGCATTTATAATGTAAATATAAATCCATTTCATGAGAAAAAAATCCCCTTCATCATAAAGTATAGAGGGACTGATTCAGAAGGATTTCTGTATCTATTTTGAGACTGCTACGTCTCCGGCGCTGCGGGAAGAGCAGCCTCTACGCCTTAGCGTAACAAATCGTAGGCATCGGACGAGCCGGAGCGGCTGAGGCTGATCGCCGAAGGCGACCAACAAGCCGAAGCTGCGGAGGCGAGATATAATATGTACGCTCTGACATTGTTTTCTCCTTACCTGCATTACTTGTAAGCATAGCATAGTATGCTCCGCATCCTGACTGTCACTTGCGGCCCGCACTAAATGCTGGATACATTCAGCAGGCCACAAAGCAGCGTGCTCTGCCAACTTCTTGAGACCCAGAAGAGCAGCTCTCCTTACTGCTGAACGGGCATCTTTCATAGCTATGCTTAGTAGAACTTCCACCTTGAATCAAAATAAAAGAAAGATTCTGTAAATACATAGTAGGTTGTTGGACTTCTGGTAGTAGGAATTCATCTGGGTAGATAAAAGACATACCATCAGGTGGACTGTATGTTCATTTGTCGGTAAAATTTTATGAAAAATAAACAATATTTATTAATTTTTGAAATATATGTGCCTATTTGGATTAAGGCCGTTGTAACATCACATTTATCATGTTTCTAAAAAAAATGCCATAAAAATAAGGAAAAGAAGTAATGCAAAGAAAATAATATTACACAGGCAATTTTATGATAAAAGAAACAAATTGCAATATGCTATTTTCTGTATAATAAGGATTTTTTTTAATGCTACAATTTAATGTGTGCATGTAAAATTATTTGTGCAAGGGATGGTGAAACTTACCTGATCAGGCACATGCACAACAGTGTCAGCAGCAATAGCTGTCAGAGCTGTAATTGCTGCCCTAACAGAACTTGATGAAGGAAACTTCTCTAGCAAAGAGCGTAGCAACTTTAGGACACCTTGAGCTCTCACAGCTGTAATGCAATTTGTTAATATTTGTTATTAATACTCATTCAAAAACTTTTTCAATCTTATAACAAGTACAGAAGTACATATAGTATTGTTGTAGTAATCTCTATTAAAAGATACACGCCTGATCAAGTAGCAAAACAAACTCATTTAATCAAATCTACCTTACACCGATATTACAATTTTACCCTCAACATTATCAATACATAAGATAATACCTTTCTATCCCAATAACACGGTTACAATCATAATTTAGGCCTAAAGTTAAAATAAACTATTTTAATTATTGTTTTTCATTATTCGTTTCTAATCACTAATAAACCACAGCTTCTTGCCAATTTGTAATTACAGTTTAGTCAGTACTTGGTATGCCAATAATTTCAGGCCACATTTCTGGTGGTGATATTTGTATTGGTGGGTCAGACCCAGAAGACGAATTTGATCTTCTACGTAATTGAGGTAGTTGCAGGGTATCATAGGTATGGTTCTCGGTTACGGCCGTGGATCGCGTCAGTATTTGGTCAACATGTCGGCGAATTAGCAGTCCATCTTCCGTTCTCACCATATAACAACCAGGACCTTCGACATACTAAATGAAGGCGCGTTGCCACTTTTCTCCTGGCCCATAGGCACGTATCAGCACGGGCTGGTTGAGCGCGAAGTCTCGGCCGGGCACCTGCTGCGCCACCTGTTCAGAGTGGTCTGGTCCACTGTCCGGATGTAACGCCGACCACGTTGTTCTATATTTACGTCCAGTCAACATTTCTGCAGGAGTTTTACCGAGGTGATTCGGCACCGTTCTGAGCGAGTATAACACCCTAGGTAGTTTCTCTGTCCATAATACCCCTGCATCAGACATTTTCTTGAGCTTGTTCTTGAAGGTCTGTATCGCCCGTTCAGTTTGTCCGTTCGTCGCCGGGTAATATGGGAGTGAGTACAAGTGTTCGATGCCGTTGTTTTGCAGGAAATTATTAAATTCCCTTGAGCTAAAGGCTCTGCCGTTGTCCCAAATTAATTTTTCTGGCAATCCCTGCGAAGCAAAAATCCTGCGACAACATGCTACTAGGGCTTCACTACTCATATTTGATAAAATATCTGCCTCAAACCATTTGCATAGCTCTGTCAATCATTACAAAAAAGGTCTTCCCTTGAAATGGGCCTGCAAAATCAACATAGACACAACTCCATGGTTTTTCAGGTAAAATCCATGTGTGCGGATCTTTTGGTGGATTATTTCTCATGGCTTGATACAACTCACAACCAGTAACCGTGGCCTCTATCTGAGCGTCCATACCGACCTATCATACGTATCCTCTAGCATAAGCTTTCGTCTGGAAGATTCCAGCATGCGGTGCATGCAATACCTTTAATACCTGCTGTTGTAAAGAAGCGGGTATAAGGACTCTGTTACACCATAATAAACACTCTTTATTATGTGAAAGAGCCTCTCTTTGCGTCCAATACGGCTGGAGTGTGGGGTCAATATTTTTGCCAGTCCAACCATGTAGCACATGAAATAAAACCTTTTGTAGTACCGGGTCTTTTTTAGTTTCAGCAGCAATTTTCGCTGCATCCATCACTTAATTTCACAAAGGACTCATTAGCAGCTGGTAATGGAAATGTATCAGTCTCTATGGCTAAATTAACAGTTGACCTGTAGTCACCACATATTCGAAGCGAGCCGTCATCTTTTTTACAATTCTTAATGGAGTAGCCTATTTGGAGTATTCTACAGGGGTTAATATCCCTTCATTTACCATGCACGTTAATTGTTCCTCAACTTGTTTTATCAGGGGAAACAGTATAGGACGTGCCTTCAAAAACCGTGGCAAGGCATCAGCTCACACATTTAAGGACACTTGAGAGCTCCTATACTCTCCAAGTCCTCCTTTAAATAATTCCGGAAAGGCTTTTAACAATTCATCAATCTTATCATCTGTCCAGCATATGCCAGCTATCTCTACACCCAACATTTTAAACCAGTTGTCCAAACTTATTACAATAAAAACATTTTGCTTTTATAAAAGGACATCTTTCGCCCTCACTGTGAAACCAACAATGACGACATGTGATAGCTTTAATTTTACCAATGTCCATAGGTACTATAGTTGTGCACGGAGTTTGCTTTAGCACACTTATTTCCCGGTACAAATCTGAGAAAGTGCCTTGATAGTTAAGGCTCAATTGCACTGCTAACTCATAACTAAGATTATTCGCCTTTAACAACTCACGACGGAGACGCTCGTCACACACTCCTAATACTAATCGGTCCCGTAGCTGCCTTTTTAAGTCTATAAAATTACACCTGGAACCTAGAGCCAATGGCCGCAATAAAGTCCTGAATACTTTCATTATGATTTTGTTGACGTTTATGTAATTTATCAGTTTGTAAAATTTCATTCACTTGAGGTTCATAGAATTGGTCAAGCACTGCCAAAATGTGTTTAAATGTCACAGAAGTCGGTCTTCTAGGCACCAACAATGAAACAATTAATGAATATGTTTCCTTTCCACATTGTGATAGAAAAAGGGCGCGCGCTTTGTCAACATTATCGCCAATTACATCAGCGGATTCCAGAGCACACAATAAATGTTCTTTATATTCACTCCAATTGTCAGTCCTGGGATCAAATTTTCTGGGAAACACCACATTTGCCAAATTACACACCATGTTACTGTTTAAACTAATTAATTTTCCTCGTCGCCATTAAAAGATACACGCCTGATCAAGTAGCAAAACAAACTCATTTAATCAAATCTACCTTACACCGATATTACAATTTTACCCTCAACATTATCAATACATAACATCTATAAATAAAAATCAATTGCTGTCTGTGTCTCGCTAAAATTCAAAAAGGGCTCAACTAATTTTAATAAATGTTTTCTTGTGTGTTTAAACTTTGACTGGATCCCTAGATGGTTTAGACCCGATAGGTGGCACTATTATCTAGAAAACACCCTTAGAAAGCCAGGGCGGATTGCAAGTGTGTAATAATAAAAAATATATTCTCACCGCCTCCATGTACAGTTCTTAGGGCTCTAACAAGCTTTGCTCTTCTCTCTGCTGCTGTACTCTCACATTCTACCATATCGGACAGTTTGTTGCACATTGATACTGCAAAGGCACTAAATAAAATAATTACATAATTAGTTTTTTAAGTAAAGAGAATATGTAAAATAAACTTAAGAATTAATTGACAAATAAAAATATAATGAAATGTAATAAAATAATTTATATATTATGTTTAATACAAAAAATTTACAGATTCTAGATATTTTTTAGGTGTCTTACAAGTGAAATTTTGTAACTTCTTTAGATAATAAATTTCATTAAGATCAAAATTTTGAAAAGTAACAAAAAATTAAGGGGCTTTGTAAATAAAAATGTCTTTAAATATTTACTTTGAATGAGCTGCAAATCTTGTTGTTGCGTATATTGCAGCATCAACCTCGACGTTATCATGGCTCTCAAGTCCTCTTCGTATCGCGTGGTGTACATTTTGTCTCTCAGGGATAATACCAGCTACAGCACCCAAGGTCCGAAGTGCCAAAGCTCTTGCTACAGGGTCATTTGAATGTAGGACACTAAAAACTCTCCGTAAAAACTCATCTACGTTTAGAATCTTGTCTAAATGCTTCTCGCTTTGTTGGCAGACACGCAAAACCCAAAGTCTTAAAAAGTTGTTACCCATACGAAAAACATCCGCTAATTTCAAAAAGGATGAATTAATAAGAATAGGAAATGGATATTTTTCGAACAAACGAGGGAAACGAACGATTGCTTCACATTGTTCACCTACTTTTCCAGATCGTAAACCTGTAAAAACATTGTTTTTGGGAAATTATCAACAGTGCTATTCGCATAAATTTTAGGTTATTAAAATAATAATGAATTTTATAAATTATATTTAAACACCTTTATCCAACTCTGTCAAGGCGGAATTAGCATCTTGTTCTGGTTCTCCAGAGTTATCATTAAATGTATTGGATCTGACTCCGATCATGTTTTAAATCACGGTTTTAAAGTTTAATTCAAAATATAAACACAAAACAAATTTCATGACAGTTGATTGATAACAGTTGACAACTGAGCATAGTGTTTCTATATAGTTTGTGCAACTGAGCAACAGCTTACTATATACTCTATGGTAGCAGTGCTGCTAGCATGGCTTGACTGAAAGTTACGTATGCATGTTAGAAATGTACAATGTAAAACAAAACAAAATATTCATCATCATCATCATCATTACAGCCCTTCACAAGTCCACTGCTGAACATAGGCCTCCCCCAAAGAATGCCACAAAGCACGGTCCTGAGCCACCTGCATCCATCGACTTCCTGCATATCTTACCAGGTCGTCACTCCATCTAGTGGGGGGACGCCCTACACTTCGCCTGCCGGTACGAGGCTGCCACTCGAGAACCTTTCTTCCCCATCGGTTGTCGGTTCTTCGAGCTATATGGCCGGCCCACTGCCACTTCAGCTTACTAATCCGTTGGGCTATGTCGGTCACTCTAGTTCTACTGCGGATATCCTCATTTCTGAGTTTATCACGCAGAAAAACTCCGAGCATAGCCCTCTCCATAGCTCGCTGAGCGACCTTGAGCTTCCTCATCCGGCCAGCAGTGAAGGACCACGTCTCAGTTCCGTATGTCATCACTGGCAACACGCACTGGGTGTACAGTCTCGTTTTCAAGTTTTGAGGTATACCTGACGAGAAGATGTACCGTAATTTCCCGAACGCTGCCCAACCGAGTTGAATCCGTCGATTGACCTCTCGGTCGAAGTTGGACTTACCTAGTCGGACTACTTGTCCCAGGTAAACATACTCGTCAACAACTTCGAGCTTAGTGTTCCCAACAACTACCGGCATAGGTGTGACATGGACATTAAACATGATCTTTGTTTTGTCCATGTTCATCTTAAGACCTATCCGTTGGGAAACACTATTGAGGTCATTGAGCATAGTGCTTAGGTCCTCCAGCGATTCTGCCATAAGGACTATATCGTCGGCAAATCGAAGGTGAGTGATGTACTCGCCATTGATGTTGATACCGTATCCTTTCCAGTCCAGAAGCTTGAAAACATCTTCCAATGCAGCGGTAAAGAGTTTCGGGGATATGACGTCACCCTGTCTTACACCTCTCTGCAATTGGATAGGTTTCGTACTCTGGTTCTGTACTCGGATAGCCATCGTAGCCCTACTGTACAAGCACTTCAACACTTCGATATACCGACAGTCAACTTGGCATCGCTGAAGGGACTGCAGCACCGCCCAAATTTCGACGGAATCAAAGGCTTTCTCATAGTCCACATACGCCAGACATAGTGGCAAATTGTACTCCTCGGACTTCTGTACAATTTGCCGAAGGGTATGTATGTGGTCTATGGTGCTAAAGCCTTTTCGGAAACCGGCTTGTTCGGGAGGCTGGAAGTCGTCAAGTCTGCGCGCGAGACGATTCGTAATGACTCTCGAAAACAGCACGTAGACGCGGCTCAGAAGGGAAATCGGTCTGTAGTTCTTCAAGAGAGCGTTGTCGCCTTTCTTGAAGAACAAGATCACCGCACTTCTGCTCCACGCCTCCGGTGTAATGCCACCATGGAGGACGGAATTAAAGAGCTTCTGAAGGACTTCAAGTACCGGTTTTCCACCCGCTTTCAGAAGCTCCGCTGTAATTCCATCCTCGCCTGGGGCCTTGCCGTTTTTAAGGTGCTGGAGAGCCATTCTAATCTCGCTCAGACTGACGTCCGGGATATCATCGGAATAATGTCGGATAAGACTCGCTCTTGGATCGTTACTCACACTTGCGTGCGGCTCCAACGATGACGTGTACAGCTGCCCATAGAACCTCTCAATCTCACTCAAAATCTCAGGTGCCCCGGAAACGATGCTGCCACATTCTGTCTTCAGCTTTGACAGTTGGCGCTTTCTGGCAGACAGATCTCTGGCAAAGACTTTGGAGCCTCGGTTCCGCTCGATCGCTTCTTCAATACGAGCTGTATTGAATTTGCGTAAGTCCCGCCGCATGCATTTGGAGATCTGTCTGTGCAGTTGCCTGTATGCTGTTAAATCTGTTGAAGAATGTAGCTTCATCTCCCGTCTAACAGCCATGAGATTAAGAGTGTGATCGGAGAGTTTTTGTGTTCTTCTGCGGCGGGTCTTGCAGAACTTAGCTCCGACCGCATGGACAGTTTCCACGAGCTTGTCATTCAAATCGTCCACTTCATTGCAGTCTTCTAGGCACTGAAAACGGTTTTGTAACTCGAGCTGAAAGGTTTCGGGACTTTGGATTAGAGCACGAGGGGGACGGAGCGTTGACTTCATTAGACGAGATCTCTCCAACTTAACGTTTAGGTTCAGTGTGCCTCTAACCATTCGGTGATCGCTGCCGGTTTTCACCCTCGCGATCACTGAGACATCACTGAACAGTTGTCGTCTGGTCGTCATAATGAAGTCAATCTCATTTTTTGTCGAACCGTCGGGGCTCGACCAGGTCCACTTCCTGTGGGGCCGCTTCTGGAAGAAAGAGTTCATCATAAAGAGTCCCTCTTTCTCCATGAAGTCGGCCAGCTGCTGGCCCCTTGGGTTCCGTTGCCCTATTCCAAATTTCCCTACTTTCAGCTCACCGTTCTCTCTTGTGCCTAGTTTTGCATTGAAGTCTCCCATTAACACCGTATATTGGGTTTTGGAGGAATGCATGGCTCTAGAGATATCCTCATACATTTTCTCCACCTCCTGATCGGGGTGTGCCGAGGTTGGTGCGTAAACCTGTATGACCTTTAGCGAATACCGTTTGGTGATTCTGAGTATAAGGTACGCAACCCTCGTCGACACACTCTCAATCTTTACAACGTTGTTAACGAGAGACTTGTGGACGATAAATCCGACACCTCCTTGGGACAGATGGTCGCCCTCCCGGTAATAGAGCAAGTTGCCGGATTCGAGGATTACCGTGTCCTCCCCCTCTCTTCGGACTTCGGATAATCCTATAATATGCCAGCGTAACTTGTCTATCTCTTCTTCCAGCTCCACAATCTTCTCGTCAGTCCTCAGGGTGCGTGCGTTGTATGTTGCCAGGTCGAGTCGTCGTAGGTGGCAACCGAACCTCCACCGGAGATTCTTAGCACCCCCTGCCCCGCCGTTACCATGGTCGCCACCGTAGCCAGGAATAGCGGGGCCGCCGGGGACTGGGGGCTGTTTATTATTGTCATTGCTCATGGGGGGTATATAAAATATTACGAAGTGTTAATTTTTAATTAATGTAGGTACGATAAATAATTAAATAAAAATCAGTCACAACTACAAAAAATCAAAATATGCTCGCAAACGATTTTCAAACATTCGATGTTATTATATATATGTTGACGTTAAAGTAGAACGATAACATGATTTTTAAATGATATATTACTTAAATAAAATTTAGTTTACAGCCCTTTAGTTTAACGCGTCCTGGGTTAACTACGACATCAGTACCTCAAACATATTAGTGTCTCCGTTTCAAGTGTTTTGCAGTTTGTTGTGCACTGAAACGTTGGGCATGAAAAATAAAAATAAGTAAAAGAAAACACGATAGAGCCGTGTAAATATAAAAAGTCATAATACATAAATTACTTACTATACCTATCTACATATTTATCTTTTTGCGTCACTATAATAAATGAATGAAAATTTATTTATTTATTTAACAAATTATAGATAATACAGAGAATATATTATGGTACAACATAAGCTTAATGAAAAACTTTACCGTGTACCACAAGCCGCCGACTTAAAATTTGACAGATAAGCTACACCTTAATCTACAAAATATGTATAACGCAACACTATTAAACAGCAATTGGCACAGTCAACAGGCGGTAAATAGGCAATACGTAATTAACTAATAGTGCATTAAAAGAAATGAGTCTTGCCACCGCCCACTTCGCCGCGTCAAAAACCGGTCGTTCCTGCGTCGCGTATACAGAAGGTGATAAAAATTTATTGATAATAATTGTGATAATATTTAATAGTAGACGAGTATAATAATTATTATTTGTTTATATGTCATATAGGTTTATTTATGTAGGGAATATAGTTGTTAGTGGGAATTATAGTTTTTTATTTCGTTTGAAGTCTGAAAAAAATAAAGCGATAGTTTTAAATTACGATTTTATGAATACCGAAATTGTGGCAAATTAGTTTTAATTACGAATAAATATAGCTTTTAACAAATGTGCTTAAAATTTTCTTTTACATATAAGAGTTGATAAAAAAAATACATAAAATGTATGAAATATAACTTCTTGGCAACTCTGATAGCTATGGCACTGAGCAAAGAGACAATGAGTTTCTTACTTATTATAAGGCAAAAGAAATCTATGCCTATACAACCTAGTCTGACGGGTGATGTTTTAAGATTATCTAAAGATTTAATATATAAGCGTACAGTTGACGATCAAAGTATATCAAGGCGTCTTATTGAAATTCAGTGCAAGCCATTATTATTACTAAGCAAAGCAGTATTATTAGTAAGGGAAGTAATGATTTAGCTGTAAACTGTACTTTGCATTGTGCACAAACCAATAAGAAATGCTAGCGCAGCATTGTGCAAACATTAGTACACATCATGATGTGCTAGAAAACTTTGCATATACAATGTAGAATTAATTCCCTTAAATTAGACATGTGCAATATGCAAATACTATTGTCAATCTAGTCTGCGATCTCATGAACGACGGACGAGGTAAATGATGGTTATAAATTAGGCCTGTTTTTATCTTTAACCCTTTTCATATCCATTACCGTAAATTTAGTAGGATAGAGCCAATAGGTTTTCTCGCTGTTATTTATGTCGAAAAACGTGGGAGAAACCAATACAATTTGGCATAAGGGAAATGCATATACTTTTATATTTGTGGAATAATATCATTGTTAGCTTGCTACATATATATTTATCTATGATCATTGTGCCTATTTAAGTGACCAATATAATGTCCGCTGAAGATTTTTAATAAATCATCATTA